ACTCAATAATACAAAAAAATACTGCCTATAATCTTCTCTATTTCCAATACTATGCATATACCAAATTGTATGGGGATTAATTAAGCTATCAACGCGCCAAGAGATAACAAGCAAACGAATTATCCAGAACTCCAAAAACTTGATCATTTTTTCCCCCAAAATTTTTTCAGTTTCTATATGATTTTTCAAATATTTTCTTTTAATCAAACCTTGTTCTGACAATTACAGACGCAATAGACTAAGTTAGTGAAATAGGTGCAGGCATTCTGAAGTGATATGCCGTGTGGTCCCAGCCATAAAATCTATCATCCCAAGTATAAAATAGGCTACCTCTTCCTATCCCGATGGTGTTTTAATAGACGACTAAGCTTAATCGTCGAGAGTTGGGCAGCAGATGTGCCTCTTAGAACAACACCAAACCCTAACTGCAGTTACCAATTCACTTGCCAAGCGTGACAACTACTGACAGACTCCCTAGTTTTTGTGGGATGCTTATGTTCATCGGTACACAGTAGACGGCTGATATATATGATGATGATTCTGAAATGATGCGCTTACATACACTTTTTGACAGTTCATTAAAATTTATTAAAAAAAAAGTAGCCTCAAACTGTATTCAAATTACATATCCCCAAAAAAATCAAAGTTTTTTTTTATACAACTTAGAATGGCAAACAAGCTGACGGCCCACCTGATGGAAAGCGGTAACCGTCGCCTATAGACATAAGTAGTACCATGGACATAACAGAGTATACTGTTTCGCCCATGATATCCCCCATGCGTTGCCATTCCTGAGGACTCAGGTGTTATTTCTTTGTACTCAGTAAATTTACGCCAATTCAAAGTACGTGTTGACCATTATTACAGTCGCTTCCTTTTTTCGAAATTAGTTAAAAATAGTACAGCCATTACCGCGTGTAATGTGTGAATTAAGTGAAGGTATTTAAAAGCACTTATCAGTGTGTTTGTTTTGTTTGAGATCGAGAACTATCTGACCGGACATAGACTGTTAGTTTAGTTATGAGAACGATTGGTATACTGTTAAAAATATAAACATACACTTTTTAAGCTACTTACCAAAAGGGAAAATTCTTAATTCGCCGTCGTATTGTTCTGTACAGATTTGTTTTTTTTTCTAATTATAATTATTTTACTTTTATGTTCATGTGTTTTTTGGACACGTGTTTATGAATTTTTAACCTACTTCAAAGCGAAGTAAGTTCTTAATTCGATTGTATTTTATTTATACATTTGTTACCTCATAACTACTTCAGTTCTAAACCGATTTGGAATTTTTTTTTTATTATCCGAATGGATAAACTTACAGATTGATCCAGGTATTGCGCCAAATAGCCACCGACTCTTTTTTCCTTTAATGATAATACCGCCTTATGTACTTCATATGTGTAATATATATATGTAAATACTGTTTTGTATTATTATTATATTTTTTTATACAACTTAGAATGGCAAACAAACTGACGGCCCACCTGATGGAAAGTGGTAACCGTCGCCGATAGACATGAGCAGTACCGTGGAAATAACAGAGTATACTGTTTCGTCCATGATACCCCCTATGCGTTGCCATTCCTGAGGACTCAGGTGTTATTCCTCTGTACCCTGTAAATTTACGCCATATCCCACTCTTCAAACCAAAACACAGACATGCAAACACAACTGCTTCACGGTTGAAACACGAATGGGACAGAGGTAGCCAAGCAAACGACTTTTGTACAAATTGTTGTATAAAATTAAGTGTTGTTGTATATATATATATGTATAATATGTTTGTTTATATTTGTTTAATTTAGTATTGTCTAATTTTGTGTTTCGTTTACTTGTTTTTTATTTTATGCAAAATTCTAGTGGCTACCAAATTACTATTTAAGTATATAATTATGTATTATTTTAGCTGTTTGTTTGCCTTAAATAAATATAAATATATATTAAGTGGTGCAAAACAGAGTAAATAAATAAATGTTTTAATGAACAAGTAAGTACCTATATCTAAGTAGATAATATGATTAGTCACGCTTCATTACTGAACCTGAGCCCCCCCATTCATGTTTTACTTGTTTCTAAATGACAAATGCTTCAGTCATTATTCGAGTGCCCGTTGTCATAAATAGCGGGAATATTTCACCAGGGTTGCCATCAGTCGTATTTTAATTAGATAAGGAATTTAATTCCTGTAGCTTCACTTTTCTTTTTATCGTTTTGACCATTATTTTATTGTAGTTTACATATTTTTTTTTATTTTTCCAAATAGAGTAACCATCGGATCATAGATTAATAAGTTTTTTTTTTTCTTGTTCTACGACATTCCTTCTATTCATATTATTTGATTTGGTGGTGTTTTTTGATTGTTAAAATATATACAATGATGTCCTAAAATTGATTAAGGTACGATGGGACTGACGTGCCTAAAAGGACAAAAGTCCCTAAATAAATAAAGATAAAAAAAATAGAGCAACGACCTCAAATGCGTTGCTCAAAGTCAATGGATACACGTAGCTTAGGACCGTACTCCATCGCAATCTATGGGGTGTTCAGCATTACTATTAAAAACGAAATTAACAGTGTATGAAGTTTTTTAAAATATATATATTCTCTGAATCCTAGTTATCACATGTTGTTACCAAAACAACTCTTTTTTTATATGTTGTATAACAGGTATGATTTTGTTTTTGTTCAATGTGGCAACCCTGTTTTCTGTAAGCTGTCGGCACTTTAAAATTTCACATGAGGCCGTAATAAATATTCTGAAAACATTTCTTGGGGTTAATAAGAGAATTAAAATACACTCGGTTCTGATTCACACTTTATTATTAAGAAAGCGTTTCATATAAAAGTATCTAATATTATTATAATATAGATAGATAGATAGATAGATTATCGATATTTTCTTCCGTTTACCATCTCTAAAGTAAAGCTGGACATAATATAGACGACTATGCCCTTCTAACACCACACAGGAAGGGGAAAGGGATTATCAGTAATGTGGACTACCAGTCCCATTGCTAGCGATATAGGTACCCTGTCAAGCCGACCTCCGCGTGGGCCCCTCTGGAAACCATCATGTTGAATTCCAGGTGTATTCATCACGATGGGCTAACTAACCTGCCTTTTAATTCTCACTTATCATGCTTTACTAGTGCTCCGCCAGCGTATACCATTAGCGCAAGCGGGGCTAACATTCCATTATAATTTACTAAAAAAACCCACACGGGGGAGGGGAGAAGGAAGAAGGGATTATTAGTAATGGAAATAAGCGTTCCCATTGCTAGCAATATACCCTATCAGGCGACCTCCACGTAATTCCCTCTGGAAACCATCGTGATTGATTTATTGTTGAATTCGTCACGGTGGGCCGACTGCTTCATCATCATCATCATCTATCATTCCTCACTGATACCCTGTCACTGTATACCGATAGCGCAGGCAGGGTTACCATTCCATCTTCACCTATAAAAAAAGACTTTTTCATTTTTAATAACCTTTTTTTTTATACTGAGGTGGAAAACAAGCATACGGCCCACCTGATGGTAAATGGTTACCGTAGCCTATGAACACCTGCAATACCAGAGATATTACGCGTGCGTTGCCGACCCTGAAGAAACCTCTTTACCCCCCTTTTGAAGAACCTCATCCTGTAGTCTCTTGGGAAAACCTCGGCATGGAGCTCATTCCACAACCTGAGTGTTCGTGGGAGGAAACATCTGTGAAACCGCGCAGTACGCGACCATTGAGGCTGTAGGACATGAGGATGAACTCCCTGTCGATGGCGAGCCGTACGATGGTAGAAAGTGGCTGTTGGCATCATATTGAACAATTCCTCTGAGCACAATCCATTGTACAAGCGGTAGAACCTTCATCAATAAAACATACATACATATGTTATGTATAATATTATGCACTTATTTTTAAAAATTGTATTATTCTAATCACATCGTCATAAGGCGCGAAGGTAATAACTTTCGATTTCCAGGTTTCCATTGCCGTAGACTGCTTTATGTGTCCTGATTATACGCGCGATTATGGGAAATATTCACTGCATCGTGAATAATAATAGGGGAACATAGAATAAGAATGTACAATGAGATATTCTGAATCTGTCGTTTGTATTTATTTATTAATAGATTTTAACCGTGACATCGACCGCGTGTCACAAATAAGATATAATCTCGTGATCCTTCATGACCTAGTGATACTTCTCCATTCCAAATACAACCTACGTGAACACCAAATTTAAAGAGATTTGGTTACGATGTCTATAAATAACAAAAATTCACTTCAACATTTAAATTATAATATAATATATTTTATTATATTAATTATGATCTACTATTAAACACACGACTTCGTTACGTCATGCCCGCGGGATAGTAAGTTAATTATTCGGGATATTAATTTTCCTATATTCTTCTCTATCTCAAGAACTATATGTATACAAAATTTCATGACAATCGGTTGAGCCGTTAAGACACCAAGAAGTGATAAGTAAACAACCAAACTCATATTTATAAGAAATATTTCTAATATAGCTTGTCATTTTTAAATTAACAAACATTTATAGCATAACATAGGGATAAGACGCAGTGTAGGAAGTTCAATAATATTTCATATTGCCATTCCTGATAATTAAGATGTTATACGTTCGTACTAACTCCCATATCCCATACTATGTCAACTTAAACAACCATGCAAGTACAGCTACTTAGCTTATTAATCAATCTTCTTACTTTTAATATTACTATTCGATTTACAATTCAATACAAAAATAAATATATAGAGATTTTAAATTACAACGAGATTGACCTAGCTTTAAACTCTCAGTTAAATTTTAAGAATAACAATTTGGAAATTTCTTATCCAATATCTTTGATAGAGCCCTTCCTACTAGAACCAATATCTCGGACCAAGACTGACGTCTAAATGACATTGACTGACAGAATTCCAATAAATAATCTATGGTTTAATTTGAACTTTGAAGTTATGTTTTGTCATGTCACGTCATTATTAAATAGATAAATTCGTATTCCAGACAAATTATCTTTTTGAAGACTAGGCAGCATGGTCTCCGACCTTAGCCTGTTCCAAACGGAACAAAACGTACTAAAAAAAAAAAAAAAAAAAAGATAAATTCGTCATTCATAAATGGTGAAAAACATAATCAAAATAAACTATTTGAAATAATCTTCGTTTCAAAGGTAATTCTAGTAAAATAAATCAATCTAATTCGTTGCACCACTCTCTGGCAATTCTCAGATTACTTTCAATAATATTACAAAATTGCTTTTATTACTATTAATGTGTTATGTTCTACAACATTGATTCTATTACTTCATAACAACGTTTACTGCGCACTTGTATATTTAAATATGTAATATATCTCAAGTAAATTAATTTATATAATCCTTAGGTAACAACAATCCTTTTCTATTTATATATACGTGCATATATATCTGCACCTGTTTATGTTATAATGTTGTTTTGTTTCACTTTATTTCATACATGGTATTTTAAAAGTAGCAATTATTTTCACATTATTTTATGTCTTAATATATTAAAAGATATCTGATTATCATTGTTAAATATAGTAAATTAAACCACTACAAATACTACTAGACAGTATCATCTTTCGCAAATTCTATATGATTCATAATATCTTACTATTGAGTAAGCAAAGTTACTTTGCATTAGATGATATATAAAAGCTGATGGAGATAAGAAGAGGTATGAGAATAAAGAGATAATAATAAAAGAAAAATACATTTATTTCTCTTTGACTATTTTATAAGGGATTTAAACAAAGATATGATCAATATATTTGATTTAACACACGTTACAGTCACTGTAATGTCAACAAATATACATTCACCCATTAAAATATTAAAATAGCTTATTTTTTAAAACTTCTAATTTTTCACAGTTATCAATGTTCTAGATGGAAATCCAGATATTTGTTGTATTATATCTTAGTAGTTATGCCTCATCAATCTCCAGTATCAAGGAATTGTGTTATTTATTCTTTACAGCATCACCATGTCGGAACGAGAACCATTAACCAATTCGGGCAGAGACTATGGCTCGTCCGCTGCTCCCCCCACTGTCGGCTTTGCAGACTTCAGTCCAACTGAACTGTACAATTTGAGTGAGAGCATCGCGGAGAATATCAATGCCATTAACAGTGGTCTACGGTCGTTGGAGAAGATGATGAAGCAGATCGGAGGGCCCAATGATAGTGTGCAACTGAGAGATAAAATGTGAGTTTTTTAGCAATAGAGTAAAAAAAATATAATATAAAAGAGCTTGTAAATAACTCTATTGTAAGTTGTAAGTTGCCATGTGGTCCTGGCATAAAAAAAACCGTTTCCTTTCCTGTGGGTGTCATAAGAGGTGACGTAAGGAGAGCGAGGGATGAGCAGCAGCATCCCTTTTAAAACATTTCCAAAGAGTAACTGTGGTTGCCAATCAGCTTGTCAAGTGTGGCGACTACTGGCAAACCCCCGAGGGGGAGGCTTATATTCAGCAGTGGACAGTTAAAGGCTGATTTGATGAAATATAATAATCAACAGAGATAATGTTTTGTTTTTGTTATTATCATAATATTGAGTACTCTATCACTCATTCTTATCACTGTAATTTGTAACTTCTCATAAAATGATTCACTGTGTATTTAAATGTAAATATGAAGCAATAATAGTATTTTTTTTTATATTTGGTTGGCAACACTACAATTCAACTGTCAGTTGTCATAGTCACCTGTCATTTGATGTATGCTTTTCTGATTAAATTGTGGGTAGGTAGATACTTGCTTGAATACGTTAGATTTATACATTTGAAGGTTATGAGGACAAATAGACGGTAAATTTTTTTTTTTCTATAAATATTGCTTTTATTCTGATAAATTCGTAGTTGTAAATCCTAGTGATTTTTTGTGTTGAGTGTTTGTGGAATCACAGTTGTTTGTTGATAATTTACATTCATTGGAAGCAGTCTATGGGAGAAGCTTATGTCCAGCAGTAGACGGATAATGGCTGAAATGACGATAAATTATAAGACATAATAAAAGGAATCACCCATAACTTTTATTGAGCAAAATTGTATGAATGCGTTGAGCCGATTCTCTCGAAGCATATGTGGTGGTACGGAGACAGTATAGTATAACGTTGGCTGGTGGCGCGGCAGCCACGAGGCGCAGCAGGCGGTGAACGGCTGGGTGACGGGCGCGGCACGGTCGCTGCAGCGGCTGGCGGGCGTGGTGCGGCGCGGCGACAAGCCGCACAAGCTGCACGCCGACCGCCTCACGCAGGCCTTCCGCGAGTCGCTCGCCACCTACTCCGCCGTGCAGAAGGTGGGTCTATGCTCTGCTAATAGACCGACAACAGCCTTATAGAGGGGGAGGGATTGTTAGTAAATGAGACTAAGGCTCCTATTGCTAGCAATATACCCAACCAAGTTGACCTCCCAGTCATCCCCTCTGGAAATCATCGTGCTGAATTCCAAGTGTATTATTCATTAAGATGGGCTAACTGACTTGTTTTTTTCATTCTCATCTATCGTCCCTCACTGGTGCCCCGCCAGCGTATACCGTTAGCGCGGGCGAGGTAACCATTCCAGTGTCATCTATTAAAGAAAACAGCCTTATAGAGGGGGGAGAGATTGTTAGTAAAGGAGAGGTTAATCCCCATTGCTATAAATATACCCCATCAGATCAACCTCCACGCGGTTCCCCCTGGAAACCATCGTGACTAATTCATTGTTTGAATCGTCTTGATGGGCTAGCTGACCTGCCTTCTCATCCTCAGCTATCATTCCCCACTGGTGCCCCGCTAGTGAATACCGATAGCGTAGGCGAGTTTACCGTTGCATTATCATCCATTATACATCTTTATAGAAATAATCACAGAGACTAAATTAGTAATTAATCGGAACATTCAATTTACCGCCATACGGCTCATATGCTTGCCTATAAACTAATCAATTTTTATTTGTACTACTATTGGACATTAGTACAAATACCAAACTCTCATTAGGATCATTGTCATTCGTCTATCAGGACCCATTTTCTTAGAAACGCGTAGAGTAATCAAGCTGAACTTAATATCAAATTCCCAATTCTGCAATCTCTTGAAAAAAAAAAAAAAAAAGTTGTGAAAAAATCATACTTCCAAGTCAACAGAATCAAAAGATACAGCCGTTTATATCATATAAATTATATTTTGGACATTCGCAAGGAAATCACAACCTATAAGGTAATTCTTGTTGACCTAGAATCATGAAAGGCAAGAAGCAATATCAGCTCAAGTAAAGGAAATATTCCAAAAACCGTAAATTTGTCTTTTGTCCGGAACCCCCTGTTGCGCGATTCCGGCTCGCACTTAGCTTGTTTTTTTCTTATTTTTTTATTCAGTATTAATATTATTCTTTAATTTATGCAGCAAGTGTCCGAGAAAATGGCGGCCCACATGCCCCGCCAGCCGCGGCCGCGGAACGACCCCCAACTGCTGGAGCAACAAGCCATGGCTGATGATGAGGAATCGGCCCTGCTGGCTACGCAACAGGCACAGGTATAGCATCTAGTAGGCACACTGAGCGGGGAAGGGATTGCTAGTCATAGGGACTATCGGCCATACGATACCCCACTGCGTACTCGAGGATTTCAGATGTAGAAAATCGATGATCTTGACCATATCTAGATGGAGTATGAAGATAAAACATACAGACAGATTTTAAGTTACACCACCAGATTTTAAATACGATCGTAAAAAGCGCATCTAATCTGATGCAGTGGTTTTTGCATGATGTCGAAACAAACATACAAATAAGTAGAGACGACTTTTCTAAAAAATATTGTATTGCCATCTTTTGATCTTATTAAGACCCCTTATAATATATATTTTTTTTAATATCTCCCATAGATCTTTATCCCATATGTCTTTACATAGTATAAATATATATATTTTTTTTATATTAGTGAGAAGATATTCGAATCAACTTTTTGCATACTACCAATATTACTTTTTTTTTAATGCAACTTAAAATGACAACAACAACCAACCTACCTAACAACCCACCTGATGGATTGTGGTAACCGTCTCCTATAGACATGAGCAGTAGTACTATGTACATAACAGAGTATATTGTGTCACCCATGATACTTCCCACGCGTTGCCGTTCTTGAGGGCTAAGGTGTTATTCCTCTATATCCTGTATTTTCACTACCATATCCCACACTTCAAACCAAAGCACAACCATGCAAACACCACTGTTTTATGGTAAAAACATAAATAGTTAATACTTGCTTCATCTATCTTAAACTTGATCATGCACATTCACTATAACCCATTGAAAAGGATATGAATCCCAGAATATTGTTTCTCAACCATTTTTGTCACGACCCACGAAAAAGCTTTATATTATTCTCAATTTCATGTATAATATAGTATATATCATATATGTGTAAGTATATTTGTTATTCATATATATTTATTCGTTTATATATGTAATTTTAGTATGTGTGTATATCAATAATTAGTAGTACCGCATTCGAGTATTCTGACACTTCCCTATGGTTGACTGGGAGAGAATGTTTTTAGCATTAAGTCCACCATATACACATATATGTACAAATGAATAGATAAATAAAAAAGCCAAAAAGTAAAAAGTTTTGCGACCCCTTCACTATAAAATTATAATAATATTTTAATTAGTAGTTTATTTATATTTGAAATCAGAGTCCTTACCCTGTGTTTTCCACTTTTACCACACCACTACCTTCATAACGGACAATAACAAGTGACGACCAAAAAAAAAGATAGATAGATAGATAATTTATTTGCATTACTTACAGCATACAAATTACAATACAAACATACATACATACATATACATAAAACACAGTAAAAGAGATAAAACAATGAAAAGAAAAATAAAACAAAAAGCAAAAAGAAAACTGCTTAATTTACTTCTGAATATCGAAAATTGTAACGTCACACATCGTTATGTTAAACGAATCTTTCGAGATTTTATTATTTTTCAACATACCGCGAGAATGGTTGAAGAAACAATGTCCTAAACTAACAAACGGGATATTTGTACCTCATTGTTCACGGGTACACCACAAGTTGCAGTTAACGTTCCACGGTGTGCGTTGCAGGCGCGGCTGGTGCAGTTCGAGACCAGTATGCTGCTGGAGGAGGAGGCGTACATGAACAAGATCGAGGCGGACGTGCTTGACGTCAACCAGATCATGCAGGACCTGGCCGAGATGGTGCACTCGCAGGCGCAGACTGTCGGTGAGTACTCCGTATGACTTTTAAGCCATCCCTTCCTTTGCCGTGAGTGTCGTAAGTCACTATCATCTATAAAGCCTGACTACGGTTGCCAATCCGCCTGCCAAGCGCGGCTATAGGCGACGGTTACCACTTTCCATCAGGTGGACCGTCAGCTTGTTTGCCATTCTAAGTTGTATAAAAAAAAATATATTGTCGACGAATATGTATACTTAGAACAACTTGTCTGACTAACTTTCCGCTAACGAAATGCTTTCTCACTGTACTGGGTTGACTGGAAGAGATCTCTGTCAGAGATAAGTCCATCCTTGCTCACAATATTTATAAATACATTATTTTATATGTAACTTACAAGTGCAATAAAGAATATATATATATACTAAAACTCATTGTACTTTTCTATTCTGCGTCGTGCTCGCCTTTCCACTATCTATTGTTTCATGACCATATTTTAATGCCGTTTACAGATTCAGTGGAAAGCCACATCGAAGCTGCAAGCTCGAATGTCGAAGCTGGCGTGCAGGAGCTAGCCAAAGCGGAGGAGCACCAGCGCCGGTACCGCAGGAAGATGTTCTTCCTGATTCTTATCGGAGTCATCCTGGCCATCGTCTTCATCGTATGGATCGTAAAAGCGTTCAGATAGGAGGTATACGCTTTTATTTATGACTGCTTCAGTATGTGGCTATCACTCTATGGCTCAAGGATTTAGTCTCGACATTGTCTATGGTGAATTGTGTGCTCCATAGTCTACGGAATCCAAATTGAGCCTGTTTGTCTCAAGTTGACGCATGTACTTTTGGCTGAGGACCTTCTGGCTTCTATGAGCCTAATAAATTAAAAAAAAAAATGTCTGGCAGTGATTAAAGATAATATAGAATCATAGATTTTGTGAATTGTCAAAAATGTGGAATGAAATTATGTTAATTAATTCGTATTGGAACTGATACTGATATCGTAGAGGCATAAATTAATCATCGTTAACAGTGTAATGTATTTTATACTTATGACCATAAGTCTTAAAATGCAATGAAAGAACTTGTAGAATTTATTATTTACTATCGACCGTAGTTGATAGTCAATTAGTTGAATTGCGAAATAGCGCCATCTATTGGCAATGCAAGGCAGTATTGACCGCTTTTAAAATAGTGATCTATCGTCTTTAAATCAATAATAATAAGGGTTTATTGCACTTAATCTAAAAATTCCCATAGGACCATATATCAGGCATATACATATAAAAATGGGTGACGGAATTTAATTGAAATACTACTTATAAATTGTGTTTAGGAAATAGAGAAGGAATGAAGTCGTTTCTGCGCGCTATTTCTCTAAATCTATCCTTAAAATAAAATAAAAATACCACTTTTACAATGGGTTGTGCTCAGAGGAATTATTCAATGTACTGCCCATGGCTATTTTCTACCATCAACAGGGAGTTCAGCTTCATACCTTAGAGCCTAGATGGTCGCGTACAACGCGGTTACTCAAATTTTTCCTCCCACGAATTCTTAAGTTATGGAATGAGCTCACTGTCGCGGTTTTTCCAAGCGACTACAACATGGGGTTCTTCAGAAAAGGGGTAAAGAGGTATCTTTAAGGTTAGCAACGCGCGCGTAATATCGTGTAGTAACTGCTTACAATCAGGTGAGCCGTATGCTTGTTTGCCACCTCAGTGATGTAAAAAAAATCAATTTGATATAGCAAAAATTTTATTCTAAAAATTAAATTAATAATTTTTTAATAAATTTATGTCAAAATTATTATAAATTTAGTTTATGATGGCCTATAAAATAATGATTTTGCTAAAGTATAAAATTAACATAAGAGAGAAATTAAGAGATAGGTTTAAAGAAGTAAAGCCTCTTGACTTAATGGAACATAAAAACAAAGTACAGTCGATTCGAGCACCGTCTGCTTTAAATTTGTCAATCGCATAACTTGTCACAAATTATTTTTTTATATTTAATATCAATGAATGAATGAATGAGTATACTTCATTTGCATTATACAATATAGGAAATAAGCAAGACAATTAATATTTTTTTTATACAACTTAGAATGGCAAATAAGCTGACGGCCCACCTCATGGAAAGTGGTAACCGTCGCCTATACATGAGCAATACCATGGACATAACAGAGTATACTGTTTCGCCCATGATACACCCCCATGCGTTGCCATTCCTGAGAACTCAGGTGTTACTGTCCATGGTACTGCACATGTCTATAGGCGACGGTTACCACTTTCCATCAGGTGGGCCGTCAGCGTGTTTGCCATTCAAAGTTGCATGAAAAAAAAAATTTATATTATAATAACCAATGTTAGTTATTGCCAAAATATATCGTCTTATTATTCAAATGCACATGTGACGTGATTGTGGTTGGATCCCAATTTTTGGGATCAATTGTGCTGAACAATGACGTTGTTTCATTACTGGACTGTAATAGTAGTCAATTTTCAATCGACTTCAAAAATAAAGAAATTTCCAACTCGGTTTTTTTTTAATGTACGAGGTTTGTCCGGAAAGTACGTATAAAAGTTTTTTAAAAATTTTATTTTACAATTATTCAGGTAAATCAATTTTATCCCCTTCAAAGTACTCCCCCTGTGACATAATGCACTTGTGCCAACGCCGTTTCCACTGTGAGAAGGCTCCTTGAAAGTCCTCTGGTTGTAGGTTTCTCAGCTGCCCCGTCGTAGCTTTTTTTATCTCATTTATGTCCCCAAATGCCGCCCCCGAAGTACCAATTTGGTTTTTGGGAACAAGAAGAAGTCACACGGGGCCAAATCCGGCGAATAGGGGGGGTGTTCGGTCACCGTAATGGAATTTTTACTCAAAAACTCACGGACAACAAGAGAGGTGTGGGCAGGGGCATTGTCGTGGTGAAGATTCCAACGCCCCTCTCGCGCCAATTTTAGCTTTGAATTATCGACGTAGAATTTTCCATCAACTGTCTGGCCTGGAGGGACGAATTCTTGATGGACAATCCCCCGAACATCGAAAAAAACAATCAACATTGTCTTGACATTTGAGCGGGATTTTCTTGATTTTTTTGTTCGGTTCCCCGGATGTCTTCCACTCTTTGCTTTCACGGCCATTCTTGCCGAGTTTCGAGAGAAACTTGATTACGACGCGCTGCTCTTCAACGGAAGCGGGCTCCATGCCGACGGGGTTTCGTTAAGAGGTAACTTCACAGATGGCGTGACAAGCCAGTTCGCACCGCACGGCGGTCAGACCAGAACTGAAGCATTGTTAGGGACATAAGGAAGGGGTCCTGCGCTTACCTGGCCTCCCCACTCCTCTTTCTCGCATTCCAGAACACTTTTATACGAACTTTCCGGACAGACCTCGTACGTTACCTCACAACTCCATCAGTTGTGAACCGATTTGTAAGATTCCTTTTTTATCTGGAAGGATCTAATAGTTTAGTTTTTAAATTAAAATAATTGGTTTTACCGCAATTGAAGTCGGTTTTTATGGAACACGATAATTAATATCATTATTAAAATAATGGGACCGATTCTGATGCGCCATTTACTTATTTATTAATTTTTTCTCTCTAAACCTATCTATCTTTATATCAATTTGATAATTTCGCGAAACTACTGTTTTATAGACTATCATAAAATAATATTTTAATAATTATTTTATGCACGAAAATTTATTAATTCACTCTTGCGCCACCTGCCCATTTCTATCTGTTCTCCTTTAACCAAAGGTTGTCTGTAAGAGATCACCCTAGCGATAAGACCTCCTTTTGTACCTTTATGTGTATATTTGAATCTGTATTTATGTTACTGTATTTCACTTGAATTGTTCACTTGTCAATGTATATTTTTTATTTAGGTGCAGTAAAGAGTTAAATAAATAAATAAATAAAATTAATTCAAATTCGTCCTCACTAAATTGATAAATTTAATTCTAGAAATAGATTTAAACGAATAGCCCCTCAGAATCGACACCAGCGCCATCTTCTTTTCTTAAAATCTCTATTATCTTTTATTAACTGTAAAAAGACACCACGCCAGCATACACAGACCACCAGTGTATGCCGGCTGTAGAACCCAGCGACCCGGAGGTCGTCGCCTCCGGAGTAGAAGCCGGGGTATAGGGGTATACACCGAGGCCCCTACGTCGCCCGCCAACACATCATCCGGCGGGCAAGAGATGCCCATATTGTTGTTGTAAAAAAAACATCAGTGTACCCACAACTTCGCCAAATTTAATTCACCAGTATTTAGTCTATAGAATATAAGCTGGCAATACCTATAAATTGCTCGTTTATTTATTGTTACTATTTATTATTGTGATATATGTAATATTGCCATTTTGCCTTTTAATTCTTAGCTAAAAAAAAAAAAAAAGAAATAATTCATTCATAGAATCATGCGACTCGCACAGTAGCATACGTGAAAAAACTAAATATAAAAATATAATTAAAAACAATAATGCAAGCAAGTGTACTTTTGTGTCGCAATGTTCTATGAAATAAGTCTATGCTCAGCAAGCATGTTGCTGCAGCGTAAACTCTATACAACTGTAGTCTCCAGCCAAATTTATTTTATTAATTTATCAAAATAACAATTAGCAATTTAATATTTTGATACATTTACTGTCATGACAATAATGTCTCATTATTATTTTTTTTTTTTATAAAATATCTTCCTTCTCTAACTACGTAAAGAGAATTGTTAATCTCCTAGTTAGGTATATATTCAGCAATGACTGTAAAAAATTATTGAAACCATATCGCCCAGCGCCATCTACTTTCAAACTAAACAAAGTTTGTATTTATGAGTAGTTTTTTTTTTTTGACGCGTGAAAATGGTATGGTATCCCCGCCTGCGCTAACGGGATACGCTGGCGGAGCACTAGTGAAGGGTGATAGGTGAGAATGAAAACAGGCCAGTTAGCCCATCATGATGAATTCATCAGGAATTAACCATGATAGTGTCCAGGGGGAACCGCGTGGAGGTCGATCTAGTTGGGTATATTTCTAGCAATGGGATTCTCAGTCTCTATTACTAACAATCCCTTTCCCCCCAATTTATGAGTACTAGACAACTTATAGACATCTTTACTACATAATATTATAGTGAAAGTGTGTTTGTTTGTTATTTTATAACGACTTAACTAATCACTATGAAATTTGCTATACATATAGTATATGTATAGCAAATATGGGTGTGTAAATAGTATCTGGGTGTTTGCTTGGGCACCGCTGTCTCATTCGTGTTTCTATCGTGAAGCAGTTGTGTTTGCATGGCTGTGTTTCGGTTTGAAGGGTGGGATATGGCGTGAATTTACAGGATTCAGAGGAATAACACCTGAGTCCTCAGGAATGGCAACGCAGGGGCGAAACAGTATACTCTGTTACGTCCATGGTACTGCTCATGTCTATAGGCGACGGTTACCATTTTCCATCAGGTGAGACGTCAGCTTGTTTGCCATTCTAAGTTGCATAAAAAAAAAAAAAGCTACTTTCATCCCAATCAATAAACATAGGATATAGTAAAAGCTGATACTTCTATATTTATATGGTCGCCCGTTGTTTTCTCATTGTGATTATTTCTTGTAATTATTTATATATATAATAAGTTTACTATTGTAATCTTTTGGAGGCAAAGACAATAAAGAGTAGTTTTCTATGATTATCTATAACATCCAAATTAATATAAAAAGACGTACTTATAAATATGTTTGTATTGTACTGGGTTCAAACCCGCGACCGTCGGAAGGTAGCGGTGTTCTAAAACACTAAGAGAATAAATTATGATTATTAAAGGAGTTTTTATGTTAATTTAACTATATCTACTTATGTAATCGAAGCGGATTTGTAAAGCTGTCTAAATAATATGTTTCAATGACATATATGGTACATTGTCCACCTTAACTTGGCACGCCCCACCAACTTTTTACTTTAATGTAAAATATTTTAAATAGTGATTTATTATGGACACACACAACAAATTTCATTCATTTATTCATATTTATTTCGTTGAGAATCCTCGCGGCTGGCTTTTGGCTTTTTTTTTTTTAATGGGTTATAATAGAATGGTAACCCCGCCTGCGCTATCGGTATACGCTGGCGATACACCAGTGATAGTTAGCCCATCGTGACGAATTCCACTAGAATTAACCACGATGGTTTCCAGGGGAGAACGCGTGGAGGTCGACCTGACAGGGTGTATTGCTAATCCCTTTCCCCCCGACTTTTGACTTTTGGCCGCAACAGAATATCAGTGTTTTGCTCTTTTGAGGAGTCAAGCAATAAACTGAGTTGTGACCATTTTGTGTTACTATGGCACACTCATGAAAGGAAGCAATTATGCTACTTCTTTTATATACTTTTTTTTTTGTACATGTATTATTTCTTTTTTTAAGTATGTACCCATAGCTATCTATATATGTATGTGATCATATACAGACGTGGTACTCTGTGTTTGTAAGGGAATAGTAACAGCCCAACCGGGAGGCCCAAACAGGAGTATTATAATGCTTGGTCGAAACCTTGTAAATATTTTTGGTCGTACGTTTTTAATTCTATGGATTTTGGAGAGGCGTACCATGTTATCGTGGACAGTCTATACTTGTATTAGTTGTAGCCTTAACGATTTTTGTATCTGTGATGTATAAGTGTATAATTTCTGAAACTTACAATATTTATTGTGTACCATTTGGTTTTCTATTTTGGCACAATTGATAAGCAATCTTGGCGTGTCTTGGTGAAATGAGTATTATAAAACAAAATAGCTGAACACGTCACTCCATCTTGTGGGGGTCGTCCTACTGAGTTTGCCCGTACGGGGTCGCCACTTTAGAATATTTCTTCACCATCGGTTGTCGGTACTTCGAGCTATGTGACCAGCCCATTGCCACTTCAGCTTGCTTAATTTTTAATTTCACCTCTATATAAAGACTTGTTAAGGTTGTTTATTAATTGTGTATTAATTATGTAATAATAGTTATTGTAATTAAATCAATTGTAAAATTATCAATGGCGTATTTAAGGTCATGTTCCGAGGAGGTGGGGTTTGGTCTGGTCCCTTAAAGAAACGCATATGTACTCTAAGACGTATCTCTGCGATGGTTTGCCCACACCCTAGGGCACTCCCCCCCCCCCCCCCCCTCTCACTCAACACTAAATTTTATACAGCGCCTAAGCAAACCGCACCGACACCCTAATTGACCCGGTTTGCAATAATCCAAAATTGCTCTATATTTGCCGTTAACCTGATTTTTAACGAATTTTATATTATGTATCAGTGATTAGCTAGCGAACGCAGGTGCTGCCTCTGTACAGCGATTTTGGAACTAAAATTACTATTAATGAAATTTATAAAAAAAAGAAGTGTATCTATATAACTAATCTAGCGATTTGATAGCAATTGTACTACATAATGTTTGACAATTAGAACTTTGAGATCCACAAAGTTCTTGCATAATACGATCGTGCTTGTAAATTAGCGATCGATCGAGCATATATCGCACAGTTTTTATCGAATAAGTAATCAATATGTTGTTTATTAGTTTTAATATATATATATATATATATATATATATATATATATATATATATATATATATATATATATATATATATATATATATATATATATATATATATATATATATAGAATCTGCATTATGTTTAGGGATTTTTTTCTTCTAAAACTGTGTCTAAAATTAAATTTTTTGCAAGTGTTTTGTGTTTATGCAATTGAACGTCGCAGTATGTTACGTTGAAGTATTATTTATAATTTAAGTTGTACCTCGTAACTTTATTGACATTTTATAACTTGTATAGAGTCTTAGTGTATAGAAATATATTTATGTTGAACGTAGTTAGGGTTTTTTTTTTAATAATAAATTTGTTGTACACACCTGTCAGTGATGTGTATCACCGCATTGTAAAAATAATAGAGTAATGAGATAGAGAAGTATAGGTGACGTATCTACAATTTTTGTTTTATCTGTACTTAATATTATTGAAAGGAAAGGATTTTGATTAAACTCGAAAACTACTAAACCGTTTTTTTTTACAAAATCTTCCATTTGTAAAAAGCTATATTATCAGCAAGTAATATAGGCTATATATTATTTAAAAAAAAAACTAGAGATACCTACGAAAATTACAAAAAAATAATTTATGGAGAAAAGTAAAATTAGCTTGGAATTTTTTTATAAATTTTTTTATAGTTTTGGTTCTTGTAATTCATATAACGGTATGTAAATACAGTAAAATATATTAATAGAAGAAGCAAATAACTAATTAAGACAAAGGTAAGGTATTTAAGTTTATATATTATATGTATTCAAATGTATTCATATGTTAAGTTCTATAGTATCAAAAATTTGTCTATTAGCTTATATAAAATACTAAAAATATGTCCATAATAATAACCATTAGTTAAATATTAACCTTTTTGTTAAAAAAAAAACCTTTCCTGGCAGGTGTAGCTTCATATTCTATTCTAAACATCATGAATGTTGAAAACATTCCAAAATGTATCACTTCTAACATCCTAATTAAAATATCATACAAGCGAATAAGAACTGAATTCTTTTGTAATATAATCTAGTTTTCAATGAAACAAGCATATTATATTTATTAATGTGCAATTTACGAAATGTATTGTGAATATTTAAATTAGAATCACTACTTACGTAATGTAAATTATTTATTACATTTTTTCTAACAAATTTTCTAAATGGTTACACAGTTTTTAATTTTAATTTACTTTTGACAGCATATTTTTCCTTTGTCTATGTTTCGAATAGTAATTAAATGAATTAATGTAAAAAAGTAATTAAATTAATGCAAATATATTACTGAACTTGAACACCTAGTGATAACAATCTAATCACTGGTTAGTTGATTTTATATTTCATTTAATTTCCCTATCATCAACACTCGAAGATTGACTACTTATTGGCTTTCACAGGCATACTAATGGTAGCGAAATTAAATAGTTCCAATTAGGCATTGACTAATATGGATACCGATCCGATATCTATATATTGGGTTGCTTTGGATATTGATGGTGGAAAGGTCATCACCCATTTCGATATCGCCCATATCGGTCGGATATCTACATTCGAATATGTTAAAAGTCTGTTATCCCTTTCAGACCTGAACGATACGGGCGTGAGTTGTAACTTTAAAAAATTCTAAAACCGCGCGCAATTAATTTTTACGCACGAAGCTGAAATAACATGATAGCGAGATTCTAAACCAGCCAATGAGAAATCATTTTAGCGGTTAGATGGTGCAGTAGTCTCGTGCGTGCCGGCAAGATGGCTTGGCTCCAAAACACGAAAATATATTTAATATGAAAGAAAAAAATCTTGGGTCTGAAAGGGTTATTATAGTGTTTTTTTATTTTTTGGGTAACAGATTTTGACCATTCGTTATTGCACAAGAATATAGATATTGTAACTAAATAATATAGATATCACTATATATTATACAACACCTAGTTCTAATCGACTAACCAGTAAACAGATGTTGACAATTTACTTAGGAATCTCTTTTATTACAATAATATATACTTGTTTCTACTAAATCTGGCACAGTTAACTGTCGAAAGTAAAGCAATAGAAAGTGTTTTATATAAGGAAGTGGGACTAAACGTATGTAACAATTCTGTAATCGTACTTGAAACTGTATTTTCATTATTTTATCAAGAAAATAAATATATTACATAAAGCAGATTTTTTTTTTATTTCAATATTATCAGAAATGTAATGTTACGTTCACCCCAACTTGTCTCGACAGTTTTTTTTTTCTGTTTCCCCTAACAATAGGGAGGGCAAAAGGTCTAATCCTATATTTTTTTTTTATGTATGATAATGAAATAGTAAACCCTGTCTACGCTATCGGTGTATGCTGGCGGTCACCAGTGAGGGATGACAGGTGAGGAAGAAAGCAAGTCAGTTAGCCCATCGTAATGAATTCCACAAGAATTAACCACGATGGTTCCTAGGGAGAACCTTGCTAGCGGAGAGACTGTTAGACCCCCATTATTAACGATTCCTTCTCCTCCCCCTATACTGTTGTTATCTTCAGTTAATATCTGGTATTAATTTTGTTTAGGTAGATCAGTTATTGAAATTTTGAAATTACATATTCATATGTGAATTTATTATTTTACATTGTTTTTAACAAACTCTGGATAGAGGGCGGGATATACTTTGGTAGATGTCCAATAAGTATCAAGTATTACAGGGCAAAATGTAAATAGGCAAAAAACAAAAAATCCAATGACTGTACTCCATTACCCAAACAGAAGTACGACAGAAATAAAAATGGCAATCATTCATTTAAAAAAATGTTTTATTGCGCACATATTAATTAGGTACATAAAATAAAACAAATCAATTTACCAATCCGCTTTTTTTTCTTTAATAAACTTAAATTATAGCATCATGTAATTTTTCTACATATTGTAACATTCCATTTAAACATAGAATTAAAAAAAAAAAAAAAGATGGTTGCATACATCAAATGAAATGTACAATTTAATAATAAATATAATAATTACACGATGCATAAAAACATTCGTTACAGAGACTTATTACACTGTCAAATATATCGGAACACTTTACAAATACAAAGTGGAAACGTGACTTTACTGGATTTCTCCCAAGCTACATATATATGTATTGTGAAACTTTACTGAAAATAATTATACTTAAGCGTACATCATTGGTTTCATCTATACATGATCCTATATATTTCATAGCGTAATATGTCCCTTAATCGCACTACAATTGACATTACAAAAATATTAGAGATCTTGAGAATTAGGCATGGGTAATATTGGTACCACTACATATATATATATATATATATATATATATATATATATATATATATATATATTGGGTTTATTTGGGCATCGATGGTGGAAAGTCATTACCCATTCCAATATCCCCTATACAAGTCGGATATCTATATTAATTTCGATCGGATTCTCCATTTCGACATTAAATATTGTTTAAAAAACATTTCATTTTAATATATGTTAGGCCCATATATAGATATTGTAACTAAAATATATAGGTATTGACGTATATTACCCATCCCTATTGAGAATAACAATTATCGGGAACATAATTGCAACATACGAGACATTTGAATTGTAATGACGTATATAACAAATCTGCACTCGATGTTACATTATTCAGAATACGATCCTAAAAATAAAACTCAACAAAGTTATTATTGCTTCAACCGTTTCAAACTATTCATACATTTATATCCAATAAATCAAATTGCTAACGAATGAAAAAAAAATTTTTTTTTTCAATAGGTACTAAACGTATTTATAAACCTAAGTTTAGCCGACGTGGTAACACGAGAAATTTTGGATTTTTACACTTACAAAACTAATGCGATTATTGTCGCCACTTCATTAATTAAATAAGGAACGAACACAATTACATCCTTGCTGTATCAGTGTTGTTACATCTTGTATTTATCAAATTGCGATATGACTATTAGGTACTTATGATAAAATATCATTAATTCAGACTCCATACACTTTCATATAAATAACGGAGAGAGTTTATCGAGCCGAAATATCTTAGTGGAACTGAACGTGTCACAAGGAGCGTGGGTCTAAATATGGAAATAATTTTTACAACATAACTACAATTTTTTATAGATATATTCCGACCAATGTCCATGGGGGAAAATTGTTCACTTTCATCATAGACTCATCAACGGATTTTAACTTGTTACAACTCCGACCGTTATATTGATATTTATATTCTTTTTACAAACCTTATAATAAATTTACAAATAACATCATTAACATTCGACGACGAGAATTTCATTTGTGATCTTTTTGATGAGAAAACTATTTTTATAATTATTGTAACATTCACCTAAATGTTACATTTAATATAAAAATCGATTAAAATCAATCCACACATATACTGATATGCCTAATAGATAATCAATAACAACACAAATTAATAAAAAAAAAAACATAATGAACGCAACCACGAAACAAGGAATACTATTAACATATAGTTACAATATCACGTTACTATTTACATAATGTTACATTATTGTTATTAAACACTAACATCGCGTGTAGGCAGTTGATATAATCTCAAATTCGGATATTTACTCAGTTTCGGAGATTACTATATCATATAAATAAATATTTACACTATTGTTTCAGTCTGTTTGTTATTTATTAAATACAAAGTGGGTTTAACATAAATAAACATACAGCTATTAATGACTGATATAGTAGGTACTATATTGTAATTGATTTTAAAACTGCTGTAGAAAAAAAAAATTTTTTTTTTGTTAGTATTTTCATTAAATTTGCTCTGATACTTTCGTAATCAATAAATTAAATTAATTCGACAAGACTATTAAATAGGTGTGGGTAATGGATACTGACCCGATATCTATGTATTGAGTTTCTCCGGACATTGATGGCGGAAAAAACGTCGATCGGCTTCTTAATTTCGATATTATATAATGGATATCAGACATAACATATTCGTTATTGAGCCCGTATATATTGTAGATATTTAATCTTCAATATATAGGTATCAGTACTATATATTGTAGATATATTGCTGGGACACTTGATACGACACGACGAACTTATGAACATTATTATAGAAGGTAAGATAGAAGGAAGGAGGGGGAGAGGGAGACCGAGACAGTAACATCAGGCAGATCAAGGAAGGAGTTGGTGTCGTGTCGTATCAAGAGGTGAAGAGACATGCTGAAAATCGTAGTGAGTGGCAAGAGCTCCACCGACAAGAGCGCAGCTCTTAAATAGATACATAGTTAGATTATAGATATTATATCTTCAATATATAAATATTAGTACTATATATTACCCACACCTACTATTAAACTACTATTGATTATATATTTTTTATATGTACTTGGCATATTAATATAAAATAAACAGATACAGTAAAAGATTAATTGTTAAATGATAAAAAATATGCCAATTATTTTAAACATATCAAATATATAAAATGTAGAAAAAATTTATTTTGTTTATTTAAAACAAATACTCTATATTAAATTAAGTTTACTATAATTATTAATTTTGAAACGAGATGGAAGTTCAAGTCTCGTATAAGCATGAGTTGAATTATAAAATCGCGTGAAATATGTAATATATATATATTAAAAAATAGGCGTTTAAAATTCTGCCTCTACCCAATATGTGGATATAGAATGAATGTTAAACTTAAAATTCATATCAAAAACGGGAGATGGTCTTGTCAAATTAAATTAGTATTATTTCTAAAAATCCCCTGACTATGAAAAATGTGTTACTTAACAAGTAGTTAGTAGATGCGATATCATCTAGATAGAGTGACGAATGTTTGGAACAACCTGTTTTTTTTAATGGCGCACATTATCAATTTTCATATATCTGTTGTGTGTATATATATATATATATATATATATATATATATATATATATATATATATATATATATATATATATATATATATATAAAACTAAAACCTATTATAATTATTACGTTGTCTTATCGAACAGAACGGAAGAATAAAAAACACTTGTACTTGTAGATGTTTGTTATTTTTTAATTTTTTTTACATTATGGCTCCATCGACTCGGAGATACTGCGATTTCATCGGTGATACGATATCTCAAATAAACTGATTCTACTTTAGTACACGCTGACAAGAGGTTTAATATTGAAACAGTTAGAAATGTCGGCCATATTTAAAAAATGGTATTAAGATTATTTTTTAAAATTCTAAAAGATCAAAAACGCACAACGATGACACCTATATATCTGCTATGTTGTAAGCATCTATGGGCTAATGATCACTTACCACCAGGTGACCCGCATGCTTGTTCATCATACTTTAAAATCACATTAAAAAAAGACGTTTTTTTTTTTACACTCGTCACTCCATCTAGACGTGTTTGATCCATGTACATCATTATGTTATTATATACGTAAAACTATAAAATTAGTGAGTAACCGCCCCATCTATTTCGATTTGGTTCACAAAATGCAATCAACATTTAAACATTACCTTAATATAATACATACAATTATATGATATTCATTCACAGATGCGTTGTTATAATACATTTTTTTTTTTTTATTTACATTGTTTCCCATGGGAAATGCACTTTCGAGCACTTATGTATGTGTATTTAAGGATTGCTTTTTAGATCTTACTCGTGACTCCATCAGGGGTCGGCAACCTGCGGCTCTTTGGATGTGAAACTGCGGTTTAGTTCTATACGCAAATAACATTAATTTATAAAAAAAAAAATTAAAATCGTCCTCAATCGATAGTGTTATATATAACTTATATAAAATAATTCTATATAACTTATATACAGATGCAGTATATAAGCGCTCAATGTATATAGGCCACGTTTATTTACCATTTTGTTTTATAATTTACAATGGTAATAAAGCCTACATATGTGCAGTTCCCTTTGTGAAGTTATAATGCGTTATATACTTCCGAGAATTTTACCATAAGCAATTTCCTTGTATAGCGACACTTTAGTGAGACTAAGGCATGGTCAGCCTAACACCTAAATCCATTCTTATTTGGACTTTGGCTAGGAATCCTAGGAACCATCAAATTAAATTACCCTACAGAATTTCCAAACTTCATGTCAAACGCTATTGTTTTTTTTTTATTATTATTAATGAGAACTAAAAAGAACTATTTGGCGGGAAAATTTACTTTTTTTTTTATTGCTTCATTGATATAATTTTTTTAGTTTCTTTTAATTCGATTAAAATAATAAGACACAAATAATCAATAGATAAAATTATCTTTTGAACTTAAACGAGTTTAATTGGTAGCTGAGCGCGGTTCTGTTATTTTTTACTGTACAATACTCAGCAATTCTGGTTACTTTTAACTAATATGTCAAACAATACAACACTTATGTATGATTCGGAACAAAGACATATGATAACGAGTATTCTATTAGGAAAATATAGTTTTAAAATGACAGACCGTTTTACAAAATCGCTCTAAAGATACCAGTTGCCCCGTATGGCCCCATACAACCTTGTATCGATCAACTACCGTAGCGAGAACAGAGTACTACCTACACCATGTCACAGTACTATTGAGGTGTATCAAAATATCATATCGTAATACTAACAAAGAATTTTATATTAATATTTGTGCCTTTTTAGTATTAAAGACTATATATATTTACCATCATAAATATAAAACCTGTTTACACCAATAAAACATGACACATATGCCACAATTTAACAATAGATGAGCCATCTCGTATAAACAAACTCTCAAATTTTGAAATTGGAACTTGGAGGTATAACATTTTCCGTCAGCATCGCTACTTAGTACTAATAGAAGACAACGATAGATGGCGCTAAAATGAAAAAGAGATTTGAGATAAAAATTTGTGAAGTAATTTTATATCAAATATATATTTATTCAGTGACGCACGATAAGCGACAAACGCTCTTCTATAACCTAGTTCAATTAAAATTATTGATTAATTAAAATTATAACATATTCAAAACATAAACATTGATAGGAACGACAAAAAAAGCAATTAAGCGCCATCTTTTCGTATTTATACCAAAACTTTATTAGCACATAGAAATATAAGCTCAAACAAAAGTGGCTTGTAGCGATTACGGGTTTCTGAGATAACTATTATAATTTGTAGCACTATTTGAATCTCATCTGGTTTTAAGATGGCACGAAATTTTATTCCGTTATAACAGTCAATTTACGGCAATAAACAATTCTCTGGTAGTACTACGGCAAGTAGACACGCCTGGTTGGAGTACTATCACAATTAATGCTGGTACTATCACAGCCTATTAGAGTACAATCGCAAGGTATATCATACTGTCGAAGCGTGTCAAGTACTCCTACAATGTATATTTGAAATGCCGCAATTTATCGTATATTACAGCAAGTTAGTGCAACAAGACAGAATACCGTTGCAGCGTATTGTAGTACTGCCGCAACGTATCGTAGTACTGCCGCAGCGTATCGTAGTACTGCCGCAGCGTATCGTAGTATTACCGCAGCGTCGTAATATTAATACAGCATATCGTAGTGTTACCACAGTGTATCTTAATATATAATACAGCATATCGCAGTGTTACCTCAGCGTATCGTAGTACCGATGCAGCGTATCGTAATAGTGCCGCAGCGCATTGAAGTACTACGGCAGCGTATCGCAGTACTACCGCAGCGTAGCGCGCCTCTGCTGCCACAACGCGTACTTGGCGCACGCGGTGTCGATCATCTGATTTAGGTGACGCGTCAAAGACGTGGCTAACGGTGTCAGGTCCCGCAACATTTTCTCCTGGAAAGTATTCATTGTATAGAGCATTCAATCAGGGAGTGGTGTAATATAAATCATCTTTATTGAAATAAACGTGTTTACATTTTTTTTAAAGTTTTACTGAAAAGAGTACACTTGAAATATGACTTATTAAAAAACACAAATATTTCAATATGTGATTATAAACATAGATAAAATAAATAAGTATGGGAAATAATAGTAACTCACTATAGAATAGACATGATCAGCACCTTAAATATCCCAGAATACAGTATATTCCTATGCTATCCTAAAGAATTAATATTATATTTCACATATCTAATCGGTAATAATGATTAGTAAATTCAAATTATTTTGTTTAATTCCGCTACCATTAGTATTATTATTAAACAAAATAACTCTAATCATATAACCAGTGATATGGACTTGTACAAAATAATACCTAATTTAGTAAAAAAAATACATATAATAACAAGCATAGTCGCTTGATAGAAACTTGAAATGTATAGGAGGATTGATAATAACAGGGAACAGTGTTAGTGATGAGTTTTGAAAGTAAATTTCATTCAACATATCTGGTGGAGTTACCTCGAAAGGTCGTAACTTGACGTTTCTGAACCGCAGCAGCGCGTCGTAGAACTTGGCGGCGCGTGCTGCACCTTCTTCCTCGGGCGCGGTCGTGGGCTGCGGCAGGCTGCGCCACAATTCACGCAACAGCTCCCCCGCCGACAGATATAGTCGCTGCAGCTCGTTCTTCACGTCCGCCGGGATTAGTTCTGTGGTCGGAAAATACATGGTGAGTTTAAAATTGTTGGTATGTCTTTAAAATAGTGTTTTGGTAGTGAAGCTAATGTATTTTTTTGTTTATTTAATAGAATTTGAGATTCAAAAAAAAAAGAAAAATAATATTAAATGCGTGTGCAGATAACGAGTTAGTATTAATGTGTAAATAATTATGAGTGGTGATTTTAAAGTTTTTTTTTTTTTTAAGATAAAATGTTGTATTTCATTTTTATTGGAACAAGTTTTTTAAAAGGTGTTAATCATTTTAATATAATGGTTAAAATGTAAAAATGGTGTAAAATACTGTTGATTTATTGTAAGCGACGAGTGTACTCTGTGTAGTGAAAGTGCAAGTATTTATGTAGTAATAGTGGGCAGGAGTTAAGGGGCAGTGGGTAGTAGGGAGGGTATTTTTTTTTATGGGTGAAAATGGTATGGTAATCGCGCCTGCGCTAACGGGATACGCTGGCGAAGCACCAATGGTGATAGATGAGAATGAAAACAGGCCAGTTAGCCCATCATTTTTTTTTATACCACTGAGGTGGCAAACAAGCATACAACCCATCTGATGGTAAGTTGTTACCGTAGCCTATGAACGACTGCAATACCAGAGATATTACGCACGTGTTGCCGACCCTGAAAAAACCTCTTTACCCCCCTTTTGAAGAACCTCATGCTGTAGTCTCTTGGGAAAACCTCGGCAGGGAACTCATTCCACAACCTGAGTGTTCGTGAGAGAAAACATCTCTGAAATTGCGTTGTACGCGACCATTTAGGCTGTAAGGTATGAGGGTGAACTCCCTGTCGATGGCGAGCCGTACGATGATAGAAAGTGGCCGTAGGCATCATATTGAATAATTCCTCTGAGCACAATCCGTTGTATAAGCGGTAGAACACGCAGAGTGAGGCAAAATCTCTCCTAAGACTTAAGGGTTCGATACCGCTTGCAAGCCTGGGATCATCGACAATTCTCATAACTCGTCGCTGTATTGAGTCAAAGGGTTCAAGCTGGTATCTAGGTGCTCCCGCCCATAAGTGACAGCAATACTCCATATGGGGCCGGATTTGCGATTTATAAAGCATTAATCGCTGATCCGGTGTGAAGTAATGCTTCGCTCTATTAAGCACACCGAGTTTTTTGGATGCCAGCTTCACCTTATCTTCGAGGTAGCCACGGAACTGTACGTCACTAGAGATGTCGACACCAAGGATCCCAATGCTTTTAGAGATGCTAAGAGACGTGTCTTGGAACTGTGGGGCCACAGCAAATGGGGTTTTCTTAGCGGTGAACGCGCAAGCTTGTGTCTTAGAGGGGTTAAATTGGACCAAGTTTTGTCGTCCCCAATCAGAGACTCCAGTTAATGTTCTCTCAATTTCAGACACAAGCTGTTCACGATTGTTCTCCACGATGGAACGAGTAACATTAGTACAACTCGTATAAAGGGCATCCCCGGTGCTGTCATCCGCATAACAATGAATGCTACCGAAGGTTAACATATCATTAATATGCAGCAGAAACAGCGTTGGGGACAGCACAGAGCCCTGCGGGACGCCAGGATTAATATCCATGCTATCGGAGCAGCAACCATCTACAACAGTTTTTATGCGTCTGCCGGACAAAAAACTGGCGACCCATTTACAGAGGCTGTCGGGAAGTTCATAGTAATGCAATTTCGATAAAAGAACCTGATGCCAGACCCGGTCAAATGCCCACTCGACTTATGAACATCTAAGGATAGTAACTCCCACCGGACTTTCCATTGTGTTATAGTAATTTCCGGCATTAGAGCTTCCGCAACACAAGATGGTAGGTGGTACAGAATTACCTTCGTCCATAGTCGAGTTAGAGGCAAAGAGAATGCCAAATATGTCGGCTTTCTCCTTAGCACTGTAGACCAAGTTACCATTCGGTTTCCGAAGTGGTGGAAAAGACGACTGATAAAAGTTTCCTTGGGCAGCTCTAGCAAGCGACCAGAAAGCACGGTTACCAGAAGGAAGGCTTGATAGTCGCCTACCAATTCCGCCCACAAATTCAAATTTGGTTCTAGCGATTACTCTCTTATTGTACCTCGAAGCAGCATTTAATTTTCGCTTTGCATCAGTGATTCCAGGATCAGAGTTAGTGCGAGCCGTAGTCCAAGCCCTATATGCAGCTTGCTGAAAAAAACTGGCTTTCTTACAAGACCGTTTAAACCACGGACGCTTCTTCGATCCCATTGCCACTAGCGGGTTAGGGATAAACAGCTTCATGTCTTCAATGATAGCCTCGCTAACGGGAATTGCGCAGTCGTTAGGATCATGTGATGCAAAACAGAGCTACTTCCACGGGTACGATGCATAAAATTGTCGCAATCCATTCCAGTCTGCTGACTTATAATGCCACACGCGACGTCGTCCAATAGGACGGGGTGGATCAGGTCGGGTGTTGGGGACATCAGCCTAGATAAGATAATGATCGGACGAGTCAATTGGCGCATCCACTTTGACGGTGTATCTATTCGGGTGTGTCATCCATCATGATGAATTAACCATAATAGGTGGTTCAGGTGGATCAGGTGGAATCGCGAGGAGGTGGACTTGGGTGGGTATATTGCTAGCAATGGGATTCTCAGTCTCCATTACTAACAATCCCTTTCGGGTAGGAGATAGCAATGAACAGTGGCGAGGAGCAGGGATGGTCGGTGTGCTGTGTGCTGTGTGCTGCGTGTAGTGTGCGGCGTGCGGTACGGACGGTGCATGCAGGCGGCGCTGTGCAGGCGCATGAGCGCGCCGCCGGGGCTGAGCTCGCCGAGCGCGCCCACCGCGGCGTGCGGCGTGTGTTGTGTGCTGTGTGCTGTGTGCTGTGTGCTGTGTGCTGCGTGTAGTGTGCGGCGTGCGGTACGGACGGTGCATGCAGGCGGCGCTGTGCAGGCGCATGAGCGCGCCGCCGGGGCTGAGCTCGCCGAGCGCGCCCACCGCGGCGTGCGGCGTGTGTAGTGTGTTGTGTGCTGTGTGCTGTGTGCTGTGTGCTGTGTGCTGCGTGTAGTGTGCGGCGTGCGGTACGGACGGTGCATGCAGGCGGCGCTGTGCAGGCGCATGAGCGCGCCGCCGGGGCTGAGCTCGCGCCGAGCGCGCCCACCGCGGCGTGCGGCGTGTGTTGTGTGCTGTGTGCTGTGTGCTGTGTGCTGTGTGCTGCGTGTAGTGTGCGGCGTGCGGTACGGACGGTGCATGCAGGCGGCGCTGTGCAGGCGCATGAGCGCGCCGCCGGGGCTGAGCTCGCCGAGCGCGCCCACCGCGGCGTGCGGCGTGTGTTGTGTGCTGTGTGCTGTGTGCTGTGTGCTGTGTGCTGCGTGTAGTGTGCGGCGTGCGGTACGGACGGTGCATGCAGGCGGCGCTGTGCAGGCGCATGAGCGCGCCGCCGGGAGCTCGCCGAGCGCGAGCGTGCGCCGCTGTGTGCGCCCACCGCGGCGTGCGGCGTGTGTTGTGTGCTGTGTGCTGTGTGCTGTGTGCTGTGTGCTGCGTGTAGTGTGCGGCGTGCGGTACGGACGGTGCATGCAGGCGGCGCTGTGCAGGCGCATGAGCGCGCCGCCGGGGCTGAGCTCGCCGAGCGCGCCCACCGCGGCGTGCGGCGTGTGTTGTGTGCTGTGTGCTGTGTGCTGTGTGCTGTGTGCTGCGTGTAGTGTGCGGCGTGCGGTACGGACGGTGCATGCAGGCGGCGCTGTGCAGGCTGTGTGCATGAGCGCGCCGCCGGGGCTGTGAGCTCGCCGAGCGCGCCCACCGCGGCGTGCGCCGTGTGTTGTGTGCTGTGTGCTGTGTTGTGTGCTGTGTGCTGTGTGCTGTGTGCTGCGTGTAGTGTGCTGTGTGCTGCGTGCGGTGCGGACGGTACGCATGCAGGCGGCGCTGTGCAGGCGCATGAGCGCGCCGCCGGGGCTGAGCTCGCCGAGCGCGCCCACCGCGGCGTGCGGCGTGTGTTGTGTGCTGTGTGCTGTGTGCTGTGTGCTGTGTGCTGCGTGTAGTGTGCGGCGTGCGGTACGGACGGTGCATGCAGGCGGCGCTGTGCAGGCGCACCGCGGCGTGCGGCGTGTGTTGTGTGCTGTGTGCTGTGTGCTGTGTGCTGTGTGCTGCGCGAGCGCGCCGCCGGGGCTGAGCGCGCCGCCGGGGCTGAGCTCGCCGAGCGCGCCCACCGCGGCGTGCGGCGTGTGTTGTGTGCTGTGTGCTGTGTGCTGTGTGCTGTGTGCTGCGTGTAGTGTGCGGCGTGCGGTACGGACGGTGCATGCAGGCGGCGCTGTGCAGGCGCATGAGCGCGCCGCCGGGGCTGAGCTCGCCGAGCGCGCCCACCGCGGCGTGCGGCGTGTGTTGTGTGCTGTGTGCTGTGTGCTGTGTGCTGTGTGCTGCGTGTAGTGTGCGGCGTGCGGTACGGACGGTGCATGCAGGCGGCGCTGTGCAGGCGCATGAGCGCGCCGCCGGGGCTGAGCTCGCCGAGCGCGCCCACCGCGGCGTGCGGCGTGTGTTGTGTGCTGTGTGCTGTGTGCTGTGTGCTGTGTGCTGCGTGTAGTGTGCGGCGTGCGGTACGGACGGTGCATGCAGGCGGCGCTGTGCAGGCGCATGAGCGCGCCGCCGGGGCTGAGCTCGCCGAGCGCGCCCACCGCGGCGTGCGGCGTGTGTTGTGTGCTGTGTGCTGCTGTGTGCTGTGTGCTGCGTGTACCGCGGCGTGCGGCGTGTGTTGTGTGCGTGTGTTGTGTGCTGTGTGCTGTGTGCTGTGTGCTGCGTGTAGTGTGCGGCGTGCGGTACGGACGGTGCATGCAGGCGGCGCTGTGCAGGCGCATGAGCGCGCCGCCGGGGCTGAGCTCGCCGAGCGCGCCCACCGCGGCGTGCGGCGTGTGTTGTGTGCTGTGTGCTGTGTGCTGTGTGGTGTGTGCTGCGTGTAGTGTGCGGCGTGCGGTACGGACGGTGCATGCAGGCGGCGCTGTGCAGGCGCATGAGCGCGCCGCCGGGGCTGAGCTCGCCGAGCGCGCCCACCGCGGCGTGCGGCGTGTGTTGTGTGCTGTGTGCTGTGTGCTGTGTGCTGTGTGCTGCGTGTAGTGTGCGGCGTGCGGTACGGACGGTGCATGCAGGCGGCGCTGTGCAGGCGCATGAGCGCGCCGCCGGGGCTGAGCTCGCCGAGCGCGCCCACCGCGGCGTGCGGCGTGTGTTGTGTGCTGTGTGCTGTGTGCTGTGTGCTGCGTGTAGTGTGCGGCGTGCGGTACGGACGGTGCATGCAGGCGGCGCTGTGCAGGCGCATGAGCGCGCCGCCGGGGCTGAGCTCGCCGAGCGCGCCCACCGCGGCGTGCGGCGTGTGTTGTGTGCTGTGTGCTGTGTGCTGTGTGCTGTGTGCTGCGTGTAGTGTGCGGCGTGCGGTACGGACGGTGCATGCAGGCGGCGCTGTGCAGGCGCATGAGCGCGCCGCCGGGGCTGAGCTCGCCGAGCGCGCCCACCGCGGCGTGCGGCGTGTGTTGTGTGCTGTGTGCTGTGTGCTGTGTGCTGTGTGCTGTGTGCTGTGTGCTGTGTGCTGCGTGTAGTGTGCGGCGTGCGGTACGGACGGTGCATGCAGGCGGCGCTGTGCAGGCGCATGAGCGCGCCGCCGGGGCTGAGCTCGCCGAGCGCGCCCACCGCGGCGTGCGGCGTGTGTTGTGTGCTGTGTGCTGTGTGCTGTGTGCTGCGTGTAGTGTGCGGCGTGCGGTACGGACGGTGCATGCAGGCGGCGCTGTGCAGGCGCATGAGCGCGCCGCCGGGGCTGAGCTCGCCGAGCGCGCCCACCGCGGCGTGCGGCGTGTGTTGTGTGCTGTGTGCTGTGTGCTGTGTGCTGCGTGTAGTGTGCGGCGTGCGGTACGGACGGTGCATGCAGGCGGCGCTGTGCAGGCGCATGAGCGCGCCGCCGGGGCTGAGCTCGCCGAGCGCGCCCACCGCGGCGTGCGGCGTGTGTTGTGTGCTGTGTGCTGTGTGCTGTGTGCTGCGTGTAGTGTGCGGCGTGCGGTACGGACGGTGCATGCAGGCGGCGCTGTGCAGGCGCATGAGCGCGCCGCCGGGGCTGAGCTCGCCGAGCGCGCCCACCGCGGCGTGCGGCGTGTGTTGTGTGCTGTGTGCTGTGTGCTGTGTGCTGTGTGCTGTGTGCTGTCGCCGAGCGCGCCCACCGCGGCGTGCGGCGTGTGTTGTGTGCTGTGTGCTGTGTGCTGTGTGCTGCGTGTAGTGTGCGGCGTGCGGTACGGACGGTGCATGCAGGCGGCGCTGTGCAGGCGCATGAGCGCGCCGCCGGGGCTGAGCTCGCCGAGCGCGCCCACCGCGGCGTGCGGCGTGTGTTGTGTGCTGTGTGCTGTGTGCTGTGTGCTGCGTGTAGTGTGCGGCGTGCGGTACGGACGGTGCATGCAGGCGGCGCTGTGCAGGCGCATGAGCGCGCCGCCGGGGCTCGCCGAGCGCGAGCTCGCCGAGCGCGCCCACCGCGGCGTGCGGCGTGCTGTGTGCTGTGTGCTGTGTGGCGTGTAGTGTGTTGTGTGCTGTGTGCTGTGTGCTGTGTGCTGTGTGCTGCGTGTAGTGTGCGGCGTGCGGTACGGACGGTGCATGCAGGCGGCGCTGTGCAGGCGCATGAGCGCGCCGCCGGGGCTGAGCTCGCCGAGCGCGCCCACCGCGGCGTGCGGCGTGTGTTGTGTGCTGTGTGCTGTGTGCTGTGTGCTGTGTGCTGCGTGTAGTGTGCGGCGTGCGGTACGGACGGTGCATGCAGGCGGCGCTGTGCAGGCGCATGAGCGCGCCGCCGTGTGTTGTGTGGGGCTGAGCTGTGTCGCCGAGCGCGCCCACCGCGGCGTGCGGCGTGTGTTGTGTGCTGTGTGCTGTGTGCTGTGTGCTGTGTGCTGCGTGTAGTGTGCGGCGTGCGGTACGGACGGTGCATGCAGGCGGCGCTGTGCAGGCGCATGAGCGCGCCGCCGGGGCTGAGCTCGCCGAGCGCGCCCACCGCGGCGTGCGGCGTGTGTTGTGTGCTGTGTGCTGTGTGCTGTGTGCTGTGTGCTGCGTGTAGTGTGCGGCGTGCGGTACGGACGGTGCATGCAGGCGGCGCTGTGCAGGCGCATGAGCGCGCCGCCGGGGCTGAGCTCGCCGAGCGCGCCCACCGCGGCGTGCGGCGTGTGTTGTGTGCTGTGTGCTGTGTGCTGTGTGCTGTGTGCTGCGTGTAGTGTGCGGCGTGCGGTACGGACGGTGCATGCAGGCGGCGCTGTGCAGGCGCATGAGCGCGCCGCCGGGGCTGAGCTCGCCGAGCGCGCCCACCGCGGCTTGCCGGCTCGTGTGTTGTGTGCTGTGTGCTGTGTGCTGTGTGCTGCGTGTAGTGTGCGGCGTGCGGTACGGACGGTGCATGCAGGCGGCGCTGTGCAGGCGCATGAGCGCGCCGCCGTGCTGTGTGCTGTGAGCTGTGTGCGCCGAGCGCGCCGGACACCGCGGCGTGCGGCGTGTGTTGTGTGCGTGTGTGTGCTGTGTGCTGTGTGCTGTGTGCTGCGTGTAGTGTGCGGCGTGCGGTACGGACGGTGCATGCAGGCGGCGCTGTGCGGCGTGCGGTACGCGACCGCGGCGTGCGGCGTGTGTTGTGTTGTGTGCTGTGTGCTGTGTGCTGTGTGCTGCGTGTAGTGTGCGGCGTGCGGGACGGACGGTGCATGCAGGCGGCGCTGTGCAGGCGCATGAGCGCGCCGCCGGGGCTGAGCTCGCCGAGCGCGCCCACCGCGGCGTGCGGCGTGTGTTGTGTGCTGTGTGCTGTGTGCTGTGTGCTGTGTGCTGCGTGTAGTGTGCGGCGTGCGGTACGGACGGTGCATGCAGGCGGCGCTGTGCAGGCGCATGAGCGCGCCGCCGGGGCTGAGCTCGCCGAGCGCGCCCACCGCGGCGTGCGGCGTGTGTTGTGTGCTGTGTGCTGTGTGCTGTGTGCTGCGTGTAGTGTGCGGCGTGCGGTACGGACGGTGCATGCAGGCGGCGCTGTGCAGGCGCATGAGCGCGCCGCCGGGGCTGAGCTCGCCGAGCGCGCCCACCGCGGCGCCCGCGCTCGCGCGCAGCGGCCGCGCGCCGCCCGCCCACGCCTGCCGCCGCATGCAACAACACAACGCCAACTATTGGACGACTGTCGGAAGCGGTAACTACATCTGACAAACATCATTTGCATCAAATTTACTCATTACACCAGCCCTCTATGCAAACGACAATTAAGTGTACTAAATATCGTTTGTATAAAAAATATTAAATTTTATACCGTGTTTAAGCAAATAAAGATTATTATTTTAATTTCACCTAAATTCTCATCACCCCTCTTAAGGAGAGGAGATGGCAAGTAACCCCCGACAGAAGCACAGTCGGCCGGGTTCAGGGCCCCAGGGAGAGAAACCGGCGCACGATGCGGGCAGAATCTAAGAGCCCCGCTTTCTGCATCTTTCCCGGGAGTGAGCCGCCTCGGAATCCCAACCGTCTGAGATGTTGTTCCAAACTGGTTGGGATAAGACCGTTCACCGACAAAACAATTGGAATAATTTCGGTGGACGCCAACCCCCACATTTCGGTCACCTCGTGAGCCAGGTCGAAATATTTTCTCTTTTTCTCAGTTTCGGCTTTCACGAGGTTCTCGTCATGCGGTATGGTGACATCCACCAAAAACACCCTCAAAAGTGCCCGATCCATCACCAGGATATCAGGTTTGTTCGTAAGAACGGTCCTGTCCGTAATGATGGATCGGTCCCAGTAGAGCCTGACGCTGTCGCTTTCGAGGACCGGCAGGGGCTCGTACTTATAGTACGGCAACCTCTCATTCGCGAGGCCTTACTTCAGAGCTAGCTCTTGATGGAGTATTTTGGCTACCTGGTTGTGTTTGTGCAAGAACTCAGTGTTGGCAAGAGCTGAACAACCCGAAAGCACATGTCTGAATGACTCTCCGGGATGGCGACATGCCCGACAGAAGTCCTCAGTGCCATCCTTCAGAATGTGCTTTCGGTAATTGTTCGTCCTAACCACCTGATCCTGTATTGCACAGACAAAACCCTCGCTCTCTCCGAAGAGAGCACCGAACTGTAGCCAGTGCACGGAGGTCTTCGTGTTGACATACGGCCCGTGAAGGGCTTTGAAGAACCTTCCATGCAACTCCTTCTCTTTCCATACGGCCTCCCGCTGAGAGGTACCCAGGACTTCGGGTTTTTGCCAGTCCTCTTTAGCCAGAGAAAGAGGGGTGAATCCTTTGTCACATTCTATGACCTCTCTATGCTACCCTCGTCTCTTTTTTGTAGAAAATATGTCCTTTGGCTGTCGATCTCGCGGTTGTGCATGGTCTTAACGCTTAACAAGCCTCGACCAGCCTTCCGCAGGATATACAGCCTCATGACTGACGATTTCGGGTGATCCATTCTATGGAGGGTCATAGTTGTGCGGACTTTCCAATCCAGGGCTTCGAGATCGGTTTGAGATCATCTGAGCACGCCAAAAGTGTAAAGGAGTACGGGTATGACCCAGCCGTTATAAGCTCGAACTTTATTGGCGCCCGACAAGCAACTTTTCAGTATTCTTGTAAGGCGCGCAAAAAACTCCTCGCGGACTGACTGTTTCATATCCGCCTCCCTCACATCGATGTTTTGTGACATACCCAGATACCGGTATGTTTCAGCCTCGGAGAGGGTTTTGATATTAGAGGGATCTGTAACGATCCCTTCAGTTTGAGTGACCCTTCCCCTCTGCACATGGAGAACCGCGCACTTGTCTATTCCAAGCGCCATCCTAACAGAGCTGCTATAATCGTTTACGATATTTAGCAGCTCCGTCAGGCGTTCGACGCTCGGAGCTAGTAGTTTCAAGTCATCCATGTACAGAAGGTGAAACACTCGTGTACCTCCTCTCCGATACTGAAATCCAGTCCCCAAATTCTCCAGTAAAGTACTGAGTGGATTCAGGGACAGGCAAAACCAAAGTGGACTCAAACAATCGCCCTGGAATATTCTTTTTTTTTTATACAACTTAGAATGGCAAACAAGCTGACGGCCCACCTGATGTAAAGTGGTAACCGTCGCCTATAGACATGAGCAGTAGCATGGACATAACAGAGTATACTGTTTCGCCCATGATACCACCCATGCGTTACCATTCCTGAGGACTCAGGTGTTATTCCTCTGTACCCTGTAAATTCACACCATATCCCACCCTTCAAACCGAAACACAGCCATGCAAACACAACTGCTTCACGGTAGAAACACGAATGGAACAGAGATACCCAAGCAACCGACTTTTGTACAAAGTCTCCCTCTAGTATTCCCCTCTTGATCTCAATCCGGTCTGCGGTATCCGTCAATCACTCGCCCTGGATAGTCAGCATCGTCGTCCACTGCCCCATGCATACCTCCAGGAACACACGAACTGTATCATCGATCTTATACAGCTCGAGTATTCTCCGAAGCCATGAATGGGGCACGGAATCGAAAGCCTTTTTATAATCTATCCAGACGGCGGAGAAATTCCGACGGTTCCGCTTGACCACGTGGCCAGCGACAGCATCAATGAGGAGCAGCACCTTCGATCCGCGACTACCGCCCCTGCATCCGTTCTGAGCGCTAGATAGGATCTTGTTCTCGTACACATGACGAGAGATCTTAGCGCTCAGAACGGATGTTAACGTCTTATATATTGTTGTAAGACAAGTGATGGGGCGATATTTAGATGGATCCGCGGTATCGTCCGTCTTAGGAGCTAAATGAGTGATCCCGGTTGTAAGGAAGTTTGGGAGCGCCCTGTTTTCGAGGGCACTCTGGAATTGCACGGCTAAGGTCACTGGCCGAGAACGCCTTTAACCAGTAGTGCTGCAATTTGTCGATTCCCGGACTTATCCAGTTCGGAGCCCGACGGATTGCGGCAACCACGTCTTCTTTTATTATTATTATTATTTTTTAAATTTCACAAAAATTCTCATCACCCCTCTTAAGGAGGGAAGATGGCAAGTAACCTCCGGCAGAAGCACAGTCGGCCGGGGTTCAGGGAAAAATGTAGGAGCACCGCTTTCTGCATCTTTCCCGGGAGTGAGCCGTCTCGGAAGTCCAACCGTCTGAGATGTTGTTCCAGACTGGTTGAGATAAGGACCGTTCACCGACAAAATATTATTATTCTTATAGTAATATAAATGTAATAGTAATACAGGGTGGCCCATAAGTCCATAGTAATGAAAAAAAAATAATTAAATTAAAACTAATTACACTATGAATAATATTTTTATTTGTAAATATAGCTAGAAAAACGGGAATTATTTTTTGTAAATAACGTCGTCCAAATGTAATCCGTTACAGTCACGGCACTCTTGCAAACGCCTTCTGAAATTGTCGATGACTGCGCGGCACGTCACTGCTGAAATGCTTGCCATTTCTCTGCGGATGTTTTCTTTTAGGTCATTAATTGACCGCGGGTTAGAGTCGTACACTTTAGCCTTAAGGTAGCCCCACAAAAAAAATCCATTGGAGTCAGATCCGGGCTACGTGGTGGCCAGGAAATGTCTCCTCTCTTAGAGATAACTTTGTTTGGAAAAAGTTGACGGATAACGGGCATAGCAGTATTGGAGGTGTGGGAAGTTGCTCCATCCTGTTGAAACCATGTTCGGGCATTAAAGTCTGGAAAGTTTTGCAATTTTTGTGTGAAAAACTCCTCGATCATGGCCATATATCGCTCCGAAGTAACAGTAACAACACGCCCTCTGCCGTCCTCAAAAAAGTAAGGCCCTATGATGCCATGGGCTGACATAGCGGCCCAAACTGTAACTTTAGGGCTATGTAAGGGCTTCTGGTGTTTAAGTTTTGGATTAATCGGGCTCCAATAGCGGCAATTTTGTTTACTAACATGTCCGTTAATGTGGAAGTGTGCCTCATCAGAGAACATTATGTTATTGAACGAAGTAAACCGATTAAACATTTCATTAGGATAATTCACTCTCTGAATAGCATCAGTTTCTTTTAATTCTTGCACCAACTGAATTTTGTAAGGGTGCATAAGTAAATCTTTCTTCAAAATCCATTGTAACGATGTCCTGGATACGTTTAATGCACTGGAACGCTTACGAGTTGACTGTGTAGGATTTTCACGAATAGATTGTGCCACTGTGTCGATGTTTTGTTCCGTACGTGATGTCCTTGGGCGACCCAACCGCGGTTTATCTAACGTCGAACCGGTCTCCTCGAACTTAGCAACCGAATTCTTAATCGTTTGGAGAGCTGGGGTGTCATCAAAGTTGTGTAAACCTTTGTGTTCTCGAAATTTACGCCTCGCAACGGTTGCCGAATTGTTGTTTTGATAAAACTCGCGCACACAAAACGCACGGTCCGCTCCGGTGAAACGCTCCATCGCGACTAAATTCCCAGAAACCGAAGTTACTGCCCTCGCTTCCCCTGCACCGTTCACGCGCGCCGTTTTCGTTTAATTCAAATTTTACTTTTCTGAGGACTTTTGGGCCACCCTGTATATATATATTTGGTGAGCTCTACAAATTTGCAAATGCACTAACCAAAAATCAAAAATAGAACATTATAATGATAATTATTGTAATGTATATTAGTGGGAGAAAATAATAATATTAGGTATGTAACCTGACAAACGGACGCTAGCGCGGAGACGGGCGGCGTGAGGCCGCCGGGCGCCGCCGCCGGCGCCGCCGCGCCCAGCACGTAGCGCTCCACCTGCGGCACGACAGCGCTGCAGCACCAGCGGGGGCGGGGGCAACTTGATAGTAGCGGGGGAGGGGGGGCGGGGGCAACTAAAATATGGACTCGAAGCGATTATAATCCTCTTGCTCCGAGCCATTTAAATGCTACGAGTAGATATCGGTGTGGTATAATTTTAGTTCGTTTGACGTTACCAATATATCAACTGGGGGGGAAAAGGATTGTTAGCAATGGAGTTTGACAGCGCCATTGCTAGCAGTATACCTTATTAGATCGACCTCCACGTGCTTCCCCCTGGAAACCATCGTGTACAATTCTTGTTGAATCCGTCACGATGGGCTAACTGACCTACTTCATTCTCACCTATCATCGTTCACTGGTACCCCGCCGGTGTATACCGATAGCGCGGATGGGGTTACTATTCCATTATCATCCATTAAAAAAATATATATCAACTGGGCGATTAGAGTCGTCAAGTAAACTTTGTAGGAAAAGATTATGTATGAGGGCATAAAAATCTTAGAAATATTCAAATTGGGCGTGGCACAAAAAAGGTTGGGAAACACTGATCTAGCAGTTCCACCTGGACACCATCGTCAATTATTTATTATTGAGTATCATCACGATGGACCAACCGACCTGCTTCATCGTCACCTATCATCGCTCACTGGTGCCCCGCCAGCGTATACCTAATAAAATTTTAGATTATCACTAATAGAACATACTGTTAAAAGAATATGCTAATGATTTAAATTTCACCCTATATATTTAGATCTTTGTTATCCTACTTAGAATGGCAAAAAAAGCTAACGGCCTACCTGATGGAAAATAGCAACCGTCGCCTATAAGACAACTTACCTTTGATAATTTCAATTCCTGTACACTTTCATTCGTATTGCTGTCTTCTAGGTCCTCGTAGTGTATCTTCTCTAATATCCTCCTTTTCCTATCGGGAGGCTCTGTGCTGTTCTCTTCCGCGGGCCGCTTCTCCGCCACGCCGTTCGTCTCCTTCATTCCGTTCTCAACAACTTTGTTGTTATTTGTTTTATTACTATTACCGCTATTATTAATATTACTAGAATTTGTTTTATGACTAGCTTTGAGCACCTGGAAGTAAAACAATTTTATCATTTTTAGTAATTCGAACTACCAGTCCCATTGCTAGCAATATATGTGTCAGATCAACCTTCATGTGGTGGGGGGAAAGGGATTGTTCGTAATGGAAACTGAGAATCGCATTGCTAGCAATATACCCAACCATGTCGACCTCCTCGCGGTTCCCCCTGGAAACTATCATGGTTAATTCCCGATGAATTCATCATGATGGGCTAACTGGCCTGTTTTCATTCTCATCTATCACCCTTCACTGGTGCTCCGCCAGCGTATCCCGCTAGCGCAGGCGGGGTTACCATACCATTTTCACCCATCAAAAAAAAACCTCCATGTGGTCCTCTCTGGAAACCATCATGCTAATTTCCAGGTGATAATGATGGATGACACCTGGACGAATACTCATCATAGTGGGCCAACTGACTTTCTTTTTTATTCATACTTTATCAGCCCTCACTAGTGCTCCGCCAATATATACCGTTAGCATGGTAGGGTTACCATTTCGTTATCATCCATTAAAAAAAAACTAACTTGACTTCATCCTTACCTACTTTCACTAACTGGGGGGAAGGGATTGTTACTAATGAGGAGGTTAGTCTTCATTACTATCAATATACCCTATCAGGTCGACCTCCACACGGTTCCCTCTGGAAAATATCGTGACCAATTTATCATTGAATTCGTCACAATGGGCTAACTGACCTGCCTTTTCATCCTCACCTATCACCGCTCACTGGTACCCCGCCAGTGTATACCGATAGCGCAGACGGGGTTACCATACCACTTTCATCGCATACAAAAAAAACTGTCCTGCCCTATAAAAATTATATTGGTTAGTTCGTTTACCATGATGGAGTGTTGGTTGAACCGCTTGATCATGTTGCGGTGTATGGAGCTGCAGGCGGCGTGCTCACGCTCCGCCTCCTCGTCCAGGGCGCCGGCCTCGCTGAACTGCGGCAGGTCCACCTGCACACCACACCCACACCAATAACACCTTCTCTCTCTTTCATTTAAGAGTTTCCTCTTATCGGTGCAACTAATTCATGCATCTTTTTCCAGCCAGCTCTATCCCAGGCCATATCCTTGACCTCCCTATACGATATGACACCTAGTGTTTCTTTTATCTGCCCCATTTAAATATTAATTCTCTACCTTCATCCCTCGAAAATTACACCCTTAATAAGTCCTTACTCATTATTAAAAATATAAATCGGAAAGATTATACGAGGTTTGTCCGGAAAGTACGTATAAAAGTTTTTTAAAAATTTTATTTTACAATTATTCAGGTAAATCAATTTTATCCCCTTCAAAGTACTCCCCCTGTGACATAATGCACTTGTGCCAACGCCGTTTCCACTGTGAGAAGGCTCCTTGAAAGTCCTCTGGTTGTAGGTTTCTCAGCTGCCCCGTCGTAGCTTTTTTTATCTCATTTATGTCCCCCAAATGCCGCCCCCGAAGTACCAATTTGGTTTTTGGGAACAAGAAGAAGTCACACGGGGCCAAATCCGGCGAATAGGGGGGTGTTCGGTCACCGTAATGGAATTTTTACTCAAAAACTCACGGACAACAAGAGAGGTGTGGGCAGGGGCATTGTCGTGGTGAAGAATCCAACGCCCCTCTCGCGCCAATTCTGGACGAACTCGTGCCACACGAGCTTTGAGGCGTCTGAGCACATCGACGTAGAATTTTCCATCAACTGTCTGGCCTGGAGGGACGAATTCTTGATGGACAATCCCCCGAACATCGAAAAAAACAATCAACATTGTCTTGACATTTGAGCGGGATTTTCTTGATTTTTTTGTTCGTGGTTCCCCGGATGTCTTCCACTCTTTGCTTTGGGATTTTAATTCGACATCAAATTCGAATCAATTCAATTTCTTCAACGGAAGCGGGCTCCATGCCGACGGGGTTTCGTTAAGAGGTAACTTCACAGATGGCGTGACAAGCCAGTTCGCACCGCACGGCGGTCAGACCAGAACTGAAGCATTGTTAGGGACATAAGGAAGGGGTCCTGCGCTTACCTGGCCTCCCCACTCCTCTTTCTCACATTCCAGAACACTTTTATACGAACTTTCCGGACAGACCTCGTATCAAAATGATATTTTCATACGGATGTGAAATAATATGACACAATTGATCTACCAAACATCTTTTGAAATTAAATAAATTACAATTTCATAACGTACTAGCACCTTGCCCCGGCTTCACACGGGTCTAATATTTATTTACGTAACCTTTAAACTGTTCTACACATTTTAGAAAAGCTGATATTTCAGCGTGTGTGAGAGTACTGCACTAATATCGTGTAAGATTTTAAAATGAATGGCCTATTTAGCAATTTTTTTTATCCAACTTAAAATGGCAAACAAGCTGACGACCCACCTGGTGGAAAGTGGTAACCGTCGCCTATAGACATGAGCAGGGGGCCTACCATGAAATGAAATTCCGAAGTTTCGGACTCAATTTCGTGTTTTCGTTTATACCTAATACGGCCCAGTAAATGGAACTTAACATTTCGTTCGTCACAAATCCTACCATAAAAGTCTAAAAGAATAATATTTTAATATTTTTAATGTTTTTAAACGGTATGTATTATGTAATTTTAACATCAAATTTGTGTTTCGTTCGGCTCCGGAATTTCGGAAAACATTTCATGGTAGGCCCTCAGTACCATGGACATAACAGAGTATACTGTCTCGCCTATGATACCCCCCATGCGTTGCCATTCCTGAGGACTCAGGTGTTATTCCTCTGCACACTGTATATTATTATACACAGATTTAAAAAACAAACTATAAACATACTGTGAGATCCAGAGTTGTGTGTTTCATAGCGGACGCGATCGCCTGGTCGTCCATTTTGGCACATTCACCAAACAGATCTTTGCTGGAAGATGACGCTATACGATCCCTGGAAGCAGATTAAAATATATGGATACTGATGATGATTTGGTCACTGCATTGATTTTATAATGAAAATGGCAACTCTTTCAAAGTACTCCTAATGTCGAGTCAGTAATAGAAGTGACTTGGAAAGAAATAATGGAAACACACAATGTTCAGTTATGAAGTGAATATTTATTTATTTAACTCTTTATTTATTTATTCATTAGTACAAATATGTGTACATGGCGGACTTAATGCTAAAAGCATTCTCTCTCAGTCAATCATAGGGAAGTGTGAGAATACTCGAATGCGGTACTACTAATTATTGATATACATACATACTAAAATTACATATATAAACGAATAAATATATATGAATAACAAATATACTTACACATATATGATATATACTATATTATACACGAAATTGAGAATAATATAAAGCACTTACTACTCGGATAAAGTAAGAAAGTGGCGTGAACGCTTTTTTTGAAAGACTGTTTAGTCGGTAGTCTCTTATTGGCATCTGGAAGCGCGTTCCAGAGTCGTAAAGAATGTAGGAGAAAATAGTTTGAAGCGTAACCAGTACGGTGAGAGGGGAAAGATAGTTGGAGAGTATTATTGCACCATAAATAAAAATATACAATGACAAGTGGATAATTCAAGTGAAATACAGTAACATAAATACAGATTGAAATATACACATAAAGGTACAAAAGGCGGTCTTATCGCTAGGGCAACCTCTTACAACCTTTGGTTAAAGGAGAACAGATAGAAATGGGCAGATGGCGCAATCATCATTTCAGCCTTTACCTGGTGGTCTACCATGAAATGAAATTCCGAATTTTCGCGTTCAATTTCGTGTTTTTGTTCGTACCGAAATCGACCCAGTAAATGGAGCTTAACATTTCGTTCATCATAAATCCTTTCCTAATAGTCCATAGGAACGATATTTTAACATTTTTAATAATTTTAAACGTCATGTATTATGTAATTTTAATATCAAATTTCTGTTTCGTATGTTCCCGAAATTTCGTAAAATATTTCATGGTAGGCCCTCAGATACGATATAAAAGCAAATTCTAAAGCTGGATATAAAAGGAGTATTGTTTAGCTGCACTTTGTACACCTCCCCAGTCTTGAAGTTGCACATGGGCAGCGACATTCACTTACCATCAGGTGAGCCACTTGCTTATTTGCACCAAAAACTGTGTTCATTGCTGTACATACACTTCCCCCATAGACTGCCATAAGAAATGGCCCCGAGTCACCTGCATCCACTATTATTTTCAGTTCATAATTCACTGTTTCAGTTTTTGTCAACCTATTCCTTACACCCTGTATACATACATATCTGTCACCTGCCTTCAATTGGAATAGATATTTACATACTAATAAACATAATTTCAGGGGAAAAGGGATTGTTAGTAATGCAAATTACCAGTCCCAATGCTAGCACTATACCCTGTCAGGTCGACCTCCACATGGTCCCCCCGGAAACCATCGTGCTGAATTCCAGGTGTATTCATCACGATAGACTAACTGACCTGCCTTTTCATCCTCACCTATCACCTCTCACTAGTGCCCCGCCAGCGTATACAGATAGCGCAGGCGGGGTTACCATTCCATTACCATCTATTAAAAAAAAAAAATTCAAATACCTATGAAAATAATGTGACTGGAAAAACTTAGTCCAGAACTCTGCTTCGGTCATCTTATTGGGTACATAGTCTATATGTTTCTTCCTCACTGCCGGGTACGTTTTAAATATGGCGTCTATAATATCCTGCGTGAGGTTGTATTTGAGGCCATTGCACCCGTCCGTCTGAGGCTGTATGTCCGCCAAGAATGCCCCAGAAACACCTGTAAAGTTATATAACAACTGTTATACTGCTATTCTTTACTTATAAAAAATATGTACCCATATTCGTAAAATAAATATTTTGAATTTGAAATTAGAATATGACAATTTGACACAAATACCAGACAAATTACCAGAGGGAGACTTTGTACAAAAGTCGATTGCTTCTCTTTTCTCTCCTCTGTCCCATTCGTGTTTCAACCGTGAAGCAGTTGTGTTTGCATGGCTGTGTTTCGGTTTGAAGGGTGGGATATGGCGTGAATTTACTGGGTACAGAGGAATAACACCTGAGTCCTCAGGAATGGCAACGCATGGGAGGTATCATGGGCGAAACAGTATACTCTGTTATGTCCATGGTACTGCTCATGTCTATAGGCGACGGTTACCACTTTCCATCAGGTGGGCCGTCAGCTTGTTTGCCATTCTAAGTTGTATAAAAAAAATGTATATAAAAAAAAACAAAGTCTTCATAGAGAAAAAAAAACATAGATTATATAAAATATATTATATTAACATAAAGTAATTCTTCCTTCTGGGATAGGCACGGCCCAAAAGACATATCTAAAACTACTGACATGCCTTTTTTAAGGAGTCAGACGCCTTGAAAAATGATGTTAAATACGCCAATAATACAGCCATATACAGAATCATCAATTTTGTCACATCCTGTATGTAACTTACCAGCCTCTTGTTTAATATTGTTGGACTCCGTGTACTGTTTCAAGGTCGGCGTGTTCCAATACTCCTCACTGTTTATCACTTTTGATATCACTAAGTCTTCATATAAATGCTTTAAAATAGGATGAAGGGACAGTAACCTGAAAAAAAAAATTACATCTGTCAACATCCTTGTTTTTTTGTATGATATTTAAATTGGCACATAAAGAGACGGCCCACCTGATGGAAAGTGGTAACCATCACATACATACATATACACATGAACAGCTACCATTGAAATCATGGAATATTTCTAATCTAATCGTCATATAGAGGACTTTTCGCCGTGTGGTCCCGGCATAGAATGGGCCACTCCTTCTTTACCCGTGGATGTCGTAAGATTTGACTATGGGAACTTAATGGTCGAGGGACTTTTTAGCTTCTTCCATCAATAGACAACCTAAATATGTTTAGACCGGGAGGGAAGGGATTGTTAGTAATGGGGAGGTTAGTCACCATTGCTATCAATATACCCTACCAGGTCGACCTCCACGCGGTCCCCCCTGGAAACTATCTTGACTAATATATCATTGAATTCGTCACGATGGGCTAACTGACCTGTCTTTTCATCTTCACCTATCACCCCTCACTGATACCCCGCCGGTGTATACCGATAGCGCAGGTGGGGTACCATGCCATTATCACCCATTAAAAAAAATGTTTGGATCGGAACTTAGCAGTTTCCACAGCACAATTGGTTGCCTTATTCAGGTCCTCCTTCATGCAAGATAAAGGACACAAAGGACAGGACAGCAGGTGAGACATTTTCTGCGATTTTTTTCAATAGGTGAAGATGGAACAGTAACCCCGCCTGCGCTATCGGTGTACGCTGGCGGGGCACCTGTGAAGGGTGATAGGTGAGGATGAAGACAGGTCAGTTAGCCCATAGTGACCAATTCAACAAAAATGAACTATAATTTCCAGGGGGAACCGCGTGGAGGTCGGCCTGATAGAGATAGACGATTAGATCGTGACGAATTTAACAAGAATTGTTCACGATAGTTTCCAGGGGGAGGTCGACTTAATAGGGCATATTGCTAGCAATAGGGCTTTCAGACTCCATTGCCAACAATCCCTTGCCCCCCAGCTAGTATATTAGCACATAGTTCATGTAGTAATTTCAATATTTACCTTGATTTCATTTCAAGCTCGCCGTCTATCTGTCTTTTGAATTTGGGCAAAAGATTCTGCAGTAGCATCTTCACCTGGTCCCTGTCTTTTGCCTGAGCCTCCGCACCGGCCGGATTCACGAAGTGGAATGTGGAACATGTGCCATCATGCAACACCACCTGCAACTGCACCTTTGGTTTGCCAGCTGGTGAGATTTTTTGTGCTGCAAACAGAAATAGCAATATTATTTATTAACTCTTTATTGGCCACATTACAAAATATATCTGGTACAAGAAGTGAACTAAATTGACATACATGACCTTCTCTCCCAGTCAACCTTTGGCAAAACAAAAATGTAATTGTAAACAATTATTAGATATGAATATAACTGTCCACTGATGGACATAAGCTTTCTTCACAAGGAGGGTTTTGCTAATAGTTGCCATGCTTGGCAGATGGGTTGGCAATGGCAGTTAGGTTTTAAAGACATTTTAAGAAGCATGCTGCTGCCCATCTTTCGACAATAAAAATCCTTTAGTTCCTTCTTAGGACACCCACGGGATAGGAAGGGCTGACAAATTCTATGCCAAGGCACACACGGCAATGTGGGTATGTATATCCAAATAATATTATCAAACTGTAGGGGGAGTGATTGTTAATAATGGAGACTAAGGAATGCAATATGGGTATGTAGTGTATTCAACACAATAAACCTGCCTTTTCATTATCATCACTCACTGTAGGGGTATACCGATAACACAGATGGGGATTGTTAATGATATGTTTAGATGTACTAATAATATAAATGTGTACTAATAATGATTTTGCTCTTCTGTCAGCGGCATGCAGCTCCTACAACAGCAGCAATATACCCAAACAGGTCTGGATCTATGGGGTAAAAATCTCCCCACATCTATTCTGAACCAGGCAATCAATAGAAATTGCGGCTCCGTGTGACAGGACTCATAATCATTATATATTTAACAAAAAATACCAAATGCTGAATTCCGGTGTACATGAATTAGTGTATTCTGAATATAAAACACAATGGTTGCTAACTGACCTAGGAATAAATGGTTTTAGCATTAGATTCTTATTCATTCTACGAAACAACAAGACAAACAACAAATTGATAATTCATCACATTCACTGGATAGGATATCTTCCAATAACCCAATGGTCGATCTTATGGTATACTGGCTAGAAGATAACACAGATGGGTCAAAGATCCGCTGACATTTACTATTCCATCATCACCCGTTGAATCAAAAAAAATATTACATCTGAAAAAACCTCAAAATAATGATGCAATAACGGGTCATTGTCCATTCAAACATTTATACACAATGATATTGTTTAGATGCTACTAATAGGCTGTGGCCCATATAAATGTGAAAATTTGTAGGTTGGCTGTAAGGTGTAGTGATAGAGTCTTTTTTTACATTAATTTTACAATATAAATGTGAAAATTTGTAAAGGTGTAGTGATATTTTTTAAAACGGGTGCTGCTGCCCATCCCTAGCCCGCCCTTAGTAGACTCTTATAACACCTATGGGAAAGGAAGGAGAGGCCTATTCTATGCCACGACCACATGATAAATTATTATTTATTAATTAAGTTTATTAATGATACTTTTTGCTAAATGGATTTGAATGAAATTTGGTACACAGGTAAGCTAAAGTCCAATTTAGCACAAAGGATATTCTGTATACTGATTTATGCAGGCAAAGGGCCCGATTCTAAGGTGCCATTCATGGAAACTTATCTCCTAACCTATATTTTAATTTGATAATTTTGCAAAATTTCTGTTTTAAGAACCACCATAAAATATAAAATATACCATCAAAAACATAAAATGTAAAAAACAGCAAATCTCGTAATGTAATATTCTTACTCTTTTGTTATAAATAATTGTGAGGTCTCAATCCTACAATGTCTTAATAATTGCACAGTACCATAATCATAAAAGAATAGTCTAAGAAAATATCTACTATTTTGTTTACTAAGTAAATCTAATATTTGCTTTTAAGAATAAAATATTTTATTAGTAGAATATGTGAGATGAGACCAAGTGGAAGGTCATCACAGAGTTGGCAATCTATTGAAACATATTGTAATAAAAAAAAAAAACAATACTCTTACAACAATAAAGTTAACTAGGAAATTATGAATGAAGCTCCTTGGAGAAAGAGGCAGATAGATAGAACTCACTAAATGTGACCTTTGTGATTAAAAATACAGAGATCAATGTGAACTTAGTCTATGACAAATAATATAATTATGTAACATGTTTATGTACATTGATTTAGTAAATAAAAACTTTTAATTTGAAAAAATAAAAAATCATTAATTTATACTTAATATTTACATCTATAAGATGGTGATATTTTGTTAAGACATGAAAATGCATTTGATTCAAGACCTGGATATCACAGATTTATTATTGTCTCTAAGTGACCAACTCAATCCCATGATATGGAATCAAAATTTCTACAAAACAAAGTTACATCTATGTCCTTAATTGGCCTGTAAAACATGTAATACAGTAATTATTTACCTTTTACTGCCCTAAATTAGGCATAATTTTCAGCAGACACCTGACATATGACCACAGAGTTCATGAGAGAATAAGAGACTCACTATATTACATAAAATGGGTGACATTGGTAATATAATTTTGTAGTTAGAAGGGAATGTTAATAATGGAAACTACCAGTCACATTGCTTGCAATGTACTCAGTCAAGTTAACCTCAATGTGATCTCCCTGGAAACTATGGTGCTGAATTCTAAGTGTATACATCACAATGGGCTAACTGACCTTGCATTCTCATCCTCACCTATCATCCCTCACTGGTGCCCCTCATGTGTATATCATTAGTACAGGCGGGTTACCATTCAAATATCATCCAAAAATATATATAATTTTGTAATTCTAGGTATTGTAAAATAGTGTTAAATTTAAGTAATACTTTGTAAACACATGAAAATGCATTAAATTCAAACCTAGAGATCTCAAGTTTGAAAACATTATAAAAATTAAACATAACATTTTTCTAACATCTAGATATCCTCATCATAATGAATTTATAGCAGCCTTTCCCAAAGTGGACAATAACACCCGCTTGTGGGTGCTGCAGGCCTAAACGGGGACGGTAAGAGACCCAGAAAAAAAATGATGGCATTGTGTAGAGGCTTGGGGGGTGATTTGTTGATCTTAAAGTAATCCTGGTTTTTAAGAAGGTAAAAAAAATGGGGGCTCTAAAAAATAATTTATTCTCAAAGTGGGCAGTAGACAAAATAAGTTTGGGAACCCCTGATTTATAGTATACTAGCATTTATCTCTTAGAGACATATCGATTGACCAGGACAAATAGTAGACAATTTTATTTTATTTTATTTCAATAGGTACACATTACAGAGAATTAACATAGTTACATTAATTTATAAACTACAATTATGTTTTGTTCAAGCTAATCCTCCAAAACTTTGCGTACACGGCATGATCAAAACATAAACACACAGCTAAAGTCTGTAAACACAATATAATTTAAACAACAAAAAATGGATAATCATATATATATATATATACATATATACACATACATATATATACATATATATATATATATATACATATACATACATACATACATATACATACATACACATACAAACACACACACACACACACACACACAAACACGCGCGCGCGCGCGCACACACATACAGAAACACACATACCACGGTGTACATATTACGTTCATATATATGTTACAACAAAAGAAACTATCTACTAATTACAGAGGAAAATAATACGTAAACGTCGTGACGAAAATTACTGAACTTCTGACCAAATATATCAAGCTTTTCACCATCCTGATGAGCACCACCACGCTGAACATTATTATAAGACCGGCACATTCTTAAAATGGAATTGTTAAATGAAACATTATTCCTAGTGTTTGGCACATCAAAAACACGGGAGTTACGACATTTATTGTTAGTATTAAAGTATAGTAAATTAAGTAGCGAGGGACAGTCAACCATAGAATTAACAATTTTATACAAGTAAATTAATTCAGCCGATTGTCTTCTAGATAATAAATTATCTAATTTAAAGTATTTCATTCGCGAAGCATAGGATTGAAGTTTCCTGACTAAGCCATATCGTCTACAAGTAGTTGCAAGGCACCTTTTCTGTATTCTTTCAATATTTTCTTCATGAATAGCATAATATGGGGACCATATTAAATTACCATACTCAGCAATGGGTCTTATAAGTGTTTTGTATAAGTATAGTAGACTGTGGGGTTTATTAAAATTTTTAGTTGCTCTGTATATGAACCCAAGCAACTGGTTACAACGACTGATGATATAATCATAATGTACACGAAAAGATAATTTTGAATCAAACATTATTCCCAAATCTTTAACCACATCTTTACGCTTAAGTTTTTGCTTGTTCATGCTATACTCAAATATAAATTTTAGAGACCTTGAAGCAAAAGATATTGTGTTACATTTTTTTACGTTCATATACATATTATTGGCACAACACCATTTGTAAATATTATCAAGATCCTTCTGTAACTGCAAACAATCTTTGAAACTATTCACTACGCGATAAACTTTGAGATCATCAGCATAAAACAAGCATTCACTTTTTATAGAGTCTACTAGGTCGTTAATAAACAAAATAAATAATAAGGGACCCAAGTGCGATCCTTAAGGAACTCCTGAGGTTACCATAACAGGAGTAGATTGGAAACCTTTAATAGCAACCATTTGACTTCTATTAGAAATATATGATACGAACCAACGATACAACGAGCCATGAATCCCAAATGAAATAAGTTTTTTTAACATTAGTTCATGGTTCACCTTATCAAAGGCTTTGGAAAAGTCAGTGTATATTGAATCCACCTGTTGGCGATTATTAAATGCATTACAAATGTAGTTTTTGTAGATAAGTAGATTACTAATAGTTGATCGACCAGAAACAAATCCATGTTGCATAGGTATTATGCGCTGTTTAACATGGTTATACAAATGAATATATATTAAAGATTCGAATAATTTGGGCATACAAGACAGTATACTTATCGGTCGATAGTTTTCACACTTCGTTTTATCGCCCGATTTGAATATAGGTATAATAAAAGCGGTTTTCCAATAAGACGGGAAAGAACCGTAGCGTAGAGATCTATTAAATAAAACTTCCAAAGGCACACTAATTTCTTCAGCACAAGCTTTAATAAAATAGGCTGGTATAGCATCTGGCCCCGCGCCTTTGTTAGAATCTAATTTTCTGATACCCTTAATTATATCCTTAGAGGTTATAGTTAAACTACTCAAGACGGGCGTGTTTATTTGTGGCCGATAATTGACTTCACCAGTAGAAATTTCAAAGACTGATTTAAAATAATCAGAAAATAGTTCACATATACCGGGTATTTCTGTTGCCGTTATATTATTGTAGGTCATAGTTTGAGGGATTGTATTGTTTGATTTTTTACTATTAACATATCGCCAGAAAGTTTTAATGTCGTCTGAAAGATCATCTTCTACTGAATTGACAAACGATTTATAGCACTGATCAATCATCTGTTTACAACGTCGACGAAGTAGATTAAAGGTGTCATAATCTCTTGGGTTCCCATACATTTTAAATTTTTTATGATATTTGTTTTTTTCCCGAATACAACGTATTAAAGCATAATTGTACCAAAACGGGTATTTATTATTTTTGGAACTCTGCATAGGCGTGTAAAGGTAAATTATTTCATTCAACTTAGAATAAAATAATTCAACAGCCAAGTCCACATCTAAATCCGAAAACAGTGCTATCCAGTCTATAGATTTCAGTTCATTTTTAATTTTAGTATAATCGCATTTACGAAAATTAGGTCTACAATTATTAGAGTTTGATCTACTAAGAGAAATCATTTCACCTTGGCGAAAATCTATGTTAATAGCTATAGATGGGTGGTGTTTGTCCATCTTACTAAGTGGTTCAACGCTCACAACATCGATACTGCCACAATCACTCAAAACCAAGTCAAGAATTCTTTCATTTGCATTGACCAAATGATTAAATTGGCTAAGATTACAGATTGCCATAGTCTCTAATAGTATAGGAGCTCTATAGTGAAAAGCATTTATAGGCTGCATGATATTCAAATTAGAGTCTCGTTGCCAAGTTATATTAGGTATATTGAAATCACCAACAAGCAAGAAAGAACCAGCTTCACCATTGTTTAAAATAATATCTTGACAGTGTTCAAAAAATGCAATAACTTTGTTGAGGGGCATATCAGGAGGTAAATAACTTAAGCAAATATTTACCGAAGACTTAGACAATGGAGAATGCACGGTTAACCAAAGATCCTCAGCTGAACTGTCCCATTCATATCTACGAGATACATTCAATAGTTTTTTTGTAGCCAATAAAACTCCGCCCCCTCTGCCTTTACACTAGTTTCGTTACTTCTATCCCTACGAAATACATTGTAGCGCTCATCAAACAATTCTTCACTATAAACACTTAAATTTAAATTAGTTTCAGTTAAGCAAATTATCTCATAATCGGTATTCAATAAATTAAGATAGAATTCAGTAACTTTTGAACGAAAGCGATTGACATTTTGATAATATATTAACATATGGAAAAAAAAAAAAAACAATACAAAGTAATAGCATTCATACATAAACAGAGTACAAAGATAGAGAAAGAAAAAAAAAAATTATAAAAGTCTCTTAAGCATTTCAGCGTTTTTTACTAGCACAGCACTTGATTGTTCATCTTTTCGAATGTATATTTGTCCATATTTTACCCATACAAATTTATAAGCCTTATCCTTAACAAATCTTCTGGCTAGTGAGTGAAGTTCCTTACATTCAGGAGATAAATGTTCAACTAAATACATTTTCTTTGTTTCTCCAGAGTAACCAAGATGGAATGTGCTTAAAGTTTGTTTAGGGTTATCCTTATTAAACTTTCTAACAGCAGATAAGATATTGTCACGATGACGAGGAGATGGCAGAGTAACAAGTATGTTACGAGGACGATTTGAAGAGGAATTAATTTTAGCAACTCGGCGGCATGCATGAATTTCAGTATCAGATATAGGGAAATTAATCACATCACATATTTTTTTGAAAATACCAACAACATTTTCACTGCGTTTTTCAGGAACAGCTTGTATTTCAATGTTCATGCTAGGAGATGTTTTTTCAGAAATTTTTAATCGACGTTCAAGTTCGTAAATGTCACCCTGAAGCTTGTTTTTTTTACATTCCAGCTCAGAAACTCTCTCAACTGCAGCCGCCAAGGTACCGTTGATTCTTTTTTGTCCTTCCTCTAAAAAGTCGACGGTGACTGTGAATTCATCCTTTAATGCAGTAATAGCCAAGTGAATCTCACTTCTTATGGAAGCCTTAATATCTGAGAGAAAAAATCAGCTTTAAACCTTTCCAATCTAGAATCCAACAAAACTCCAAATTGTTGCAGCGAAATAGTATGATTTTCAGCAGACACGGAACATTCCATTTCACTTTGATTCATAGTAACATCACATGACATCACCGATTCGTCAAGTGTATTTGGTTTACGGACTGGGGTATTCGTGTTGTCCCCTCTTCGCCGAGTAATATTGATGCATACACAACATTGCCATGGCTTATTACTTAATTTCAAATTTTGATAAGCATTCAAACTCATATTCAAACACTTATAATGAAAAGATTCATTACACTGATTACACTTAAGCGATTCGTCAGTTTTAAATTTTTTATTACATGCCGAGCACGTTTCCATATTTATGCGTAATGTAGTTATTTATAAGTATTTAATTTCCTCAATATAAAATGCAGTCAATAATACACAGGTGGGTAGATACGGAATCTTGTATCGGCGACAGCGAAACGTAGCACGTAAATAGTAAGATGTACAATGTTGTAAACGTAAAATGTACAATGTTGTTTTCATCCCAAATAATAAATGTATATCATTACAAATTGATTGAACAATCAAAACGTCAAGAAGTAACAAACACACTGTCACATTCATAATACTGATAAGGATTGTACTTTATCTAGTCACCATCAATGTATCTAGACAAAATACCAAATTGTTGACCATCAAATCTACCTAAAATCACCTACCTAAATATCTATTGTAAAAGAATAGCCACATGAACTAAACATAATTTTCATTAAAATTCTGTTGTTTATTTTTTATAATTATTTTTAAATCCTCAATCCAATATCATTCTTGAAATCAACATGTGATTAAACACTTTAAATTAATAAGATCAGTTTAGTAATAATGATGTATCATGTGAACCTTCTTTATTAAAATTTTTGAAAGGATCATTTTTGTGAACCCATGAAGTGTATGTATGTAATGAAACAAAATTAAATAAACGACCCTTTCTATGAATAAATATATAGTTATTATTACCTTGATTCTTTAAAAGTGATTTGAGTGAAACTATTAATGTGAGCTGGCATGAAAACAAAATTTGGATTTTGTTATATATCATAGGACATGTAACAGACTGTACTTTTCATTCACAGATTATCCCAAATTGATAGAAGCTTTAAAGATATACTATAAGACAGATATATAGTAAAATTACTTGCACTAACAACGAGTGGTAACTTTCTATGCTTCATCAATAGTATAGAAATTTAATCAAAATTACTTACTTTTAATATCAGCATATTTATGTGAGACCGCTACTGTATCCCGATTTTCTAACATCCAGGCCAATCTTTGATTCATTACGTATAAAGTTCCATCACCTTTCTTATATCTTACATAGCTAACGCTAAGCAATACATCCTCGGAAGATGTAGTCATTGTTCCACCACCGAAAACACACGAAAATTATCAAGAGCCAGAAAATTTGTAACTTCCGAAATTCGAATATCACAGGACAAAAATTCAATTAATATTAAAATAGTTTCCACCCTCCTTAAAAGATTTTTTTCAATATATACAATAACAGCATTCGATTGTATAAATGCATTAAATTTTATTTTCGTGTAAAACACATTTTAACTGAAATTCCACAAAAAAGACCACATCGTAATCTATGACTATGAACCATTTGCAATTTTGACAAACTGTCTGTTTTTTTTTAGATGTTTAACGGCTGTAGAGTCTAAGTAGCGCCATCATCAGTGTGACCACTTTATTAATAAATCTTAATTTTAACTAAAAGTACCAATATAATGTTTTGCTTATAATTTCAAATTCCAGTGTAATATATATATTATTTATATACATTTATTGGAAAAATATTAGTTTAAAATAAAATTTAATAATATGTATCTCACCCAGACATATAATAATGAAGCAGACGAAACATAAGTTGAAGTATATTTTTCTTTTGCTCGCACTTAACGTAAATTGAATGTTACTTATTATCTTTTCCTGTCATGTGTAACAATATTTCATCAAAATATGATGTACATCAATTCGTCATATAGATACTAAGCAGTATATGCTGCATGCTTAAACTATATCAAACATCGAGAATTGCATGGTTTTCATCAATAATGCGTGTAGTTGAATGTAATGGAATTTCATTTCCATAAAACATTTCAAGAATACATATATTTATTGTATTTAAAAAATCGAATACTCCGAAAAATTTATAAAGGTATTGTTTTGATTTAAAACAAAATAGTCAGCTAAACATTAAATTAGCTTACTGCCAGACTCAGTAAACTCGTCAGTCAACTCCTTAATACAGATTTAAAAATCTATTAACGCATTTACTAACATCATTAATACATCAATTAACAATTTTAACAATTATCATTATCTTCCTACCTATATCCCAAATATTATTTGAGTACGGTGTAATATGATTTTTTTATCCATATTACAAAAGGATTTAGCTTACATTTTTACAATCGGCTACCTGCCTGACGTCAACTTTTTTTGGGGAAACAATTTTAACTATCATTACATATATATACTCACATTACATTTCTCTGTCTATAAAATCAAGTAAACTGCCTATATATACTTCTACCATAGATTATATTGATAGAGCATCGAGTGACAAAAATTTGTCAAAATTGAGTCAGTTAATTTGACGTTTGGTTGATTCAATTTGACACATTTTTTAAATCAAGACTAAAAGCGCCTTCTCGTATTAGAAGGCGTATTACGGTATTTACATTAAAAAATTTCTAAACCAAATCGAGTTTTTTGTAGTTATTACAATACAATTACTTAACCCATGGTACTCAGTGTATGTTGATATTGTGTTGCAAATTAATATAAATTTTGGAAGGAAAGGGATTGTTAGTAATGGGGTCTAATAGCCCCATTGCTAGCAATATACCCTCTCAGGTCGACCTCCATGCGGTTCCCCCTGGAAACTATCATGTTTAATTTTTGTCGAATTCATCATAGTGAGTCAACTGACCTGCATTTATTCTCACCTATCATCTTCCACTAGTGCCTCGTCAGTGTATACCGATGGCGCGGGCGGGATTACCATTCCATTTTCATCCAATAAATATATATACATATATATATATATATATATATATATATATATATATATATATATATATATATATATATATATATATATATATATATATATATATATATATATATATATATATATATATATATAAATTTTAATTCTTTTGAAGAATTGTATTTTTTTTTATTGATGGGTGTAAATGGTATGGTAGCCCCGCCTGCGCTAACGGGATACGCTGGCGGAACACCAGTGAAGGGTGATAGATGATAATAAAAACAGGCCAGTTAGCCCATCATGATGAATTCATCAGGAATTAACTATGATAGTTTCCAGGGAGAACCGCGAGGAGGTCGACCTGGTTGGGTATATTGTTAGCAATGGGATTCTCAGTCTCCATTACTAACAATCTTTTTCCCCCCGAAGAATTGTATTGAGTTGACAGCTGTCACAAGAAAGATGTCATTTCGGCACATTCAAATTTTACTCATAATTCATAAAACACAGGAACAACTAATAAATGAAGAGAAAACACTCAGCACTTCTTATTATTCATGTTATAATAATACAATGTATAAAGAAATTCATAGTACCTTTGGATTAAAAATAATTTATCTAAAAAATATTTTTATTTCGATTATCAATTTGATTTCTTATTAGTGAATGCACTTTATGAAACCGCCATTATTTTTTTTATAATCTGGCAACATTGTACATTGACAAACCAAAATGCAATCATGGCGCACGGGTTACTGTGTTTTTAGAATGCTGACAAGTTTTTACGTAAACACTTCATTATTTTACATAGAAACTGATTTTTGTGTTTATATAAATTACCAGTGAGTCTTGAAGACTATAGCAAAGCATACATGTGTGTTCCAAACTTGGAGTTTCCACCTGTTCGCATTCACGTCTCTGTGCCATTGGACACTTGCAGGTATGAAAATCATAAGAACTGCTGTTTTAACTGTACTATCGCTATAAATATAATACTGTGTTACTGTCAGTGTGGTAAATGTTATTTTCAAATAGATTCCGAGCTGTATTTATTTAGTTTGTTGTAATAAATGTGACTTATACGTTTGTTCCAGATAACTTGTTGGTGTAATAATGTCAGAGGCGTACGCCCGCGAGATACTTCGAAGGAATGTTGCGCAAATATGCCAAACTATAGGATGGAACGGGATAAACTCTACTCCGCTGGACATACTGGTTCATGTGTTAGAGAAGTACATTCAATCACTTGGCACGCAAGCTAGCCGATACGCTGAACAATTTAATAGGACTGAACCAAATTTACATGACTTAGGATTAGTATTTCGTGATTTACACGTGCAATTGCCAGAGTTAGCAGAGTATACGCGCTGTGTGCCCTCTGTAGCACCACCTGTCAATGTTGAAAGGTTTCCAAAACCCAAGGAATCAAATTTAAATTTCCTCAAACCTGGCAGCCATGAGGTTGTTACAAGACCTATGCATGTCCATGAACATTTGCCTCCTATGTACCCAGAAAAGGAACGGGACACGCCAGTTGTTGCAGGGACTATTGAAATACATCAAAATGGCATTGATAATAATGGAACAAATCCAACATGCACGAGTCCAGAGATATCAGTTACAGATAGTCCAGAAAAACCTAAAGACATATTTAAGAGGCCGATCGATCCTGTGTCATTACCAAACAATAAAAGGCCAAGGTTTCGATTGGAAGAGGAGGAGAGGACTAGAGAAATTAGCAGTGTGATGATGACAATGTCAGGTTTCCTTTCACCAGCTCGGGAAGGAAAACTACCAGAAGCCCGGCCACCTACAATTGTATCTGAGAAACATTATGATAAGCATAAACCAAATTCTCATCAGTCTAATCCTATGAAAGTACCAATAGTAGACAAAAGTGATAAGAAATCTAAAAAGAATAAGTTATTGAATGGTAAAATAATGAAAAGTAAAAGGAAAGATAAAAGTCATAAAAGTGATAGTAGTAAATCAAAAGATAGTAAATTGAATAAGTATCCACCAGGACATCCTATGAAAAGCAAGGAAGTTCATCCAACACTTCATAATCATGTTGCAATGCTAGCGCCGAGGCCGTTGGTACCACCTGCAGTGCCACCAAGTGTCATGCCACCTCCACCAACACCTGTAGCCCCTGAACTTATTAGACCAGTTATAAAGCAAGAACCTATAGATCCACCATCGGTCGTACCCAGAAGCTATCTCCCTGGAGAAGAAGCAATTCCTGTACCAAGGAAAATACCAATATCAAAATCACCACTTGTATCTAATTCTATACCTGTAAATAAACAAACAAATTCTTTCATACCTGACTTAGAAATCAAAAAAGAAGTATATGAAGAAGAAAAGTTAGCTTCTCAACCAGATAGATCAAAGATTAATATATTTAAAAGAATATCGAACAAATCTAAAGAGGATAAGACTACTCCAGAGGTTGTTGCAGAAAAATCACAGTCTGATTCCATGATCTCAAGGTTACAGAATTCTGTACATGAAAATGCAGTTAGCAATAGTAGATCACATGAAAATATTAGAATAAAACCTGAAGATCCAATTGTTAATAATAATGATAATAGTGCTGTAAATTTGTCTGTAGTTGACATAAGAAGTAATGAAGTTATAAGTATTGATGACGATTCTATGGATTTTCCCACACCATTAACACAAAGTAGACCACCTCAACATGAACTTTGTCCCAGTTTATCCATTAACAAATCTTTACAAGCACCATTTTCTAAAAATCTAACAGGTCCAAAAGTAAAAAAAGAAAAGAAACATAAAGAGAAGAAAGATAAAGTAGCAAAATTGGAAGCAAAATTATTGAAAAAGCAACAACAGCAAATCTTGGAACAAATGGATAAACAAGTTTTGAAAATGAGTCACCCAAAGCCACCAAAATCGAGAGCGAAAGGTGATTCAAAAATGCCGCTGCCTCCCGGGTTTCCATATTTTCCCAACATACCGGGAAGAGGGTTAATGCCAGGTCCAGGTTTAATACCGAATCCTGGCTTAATCCCCGGAACAGATTTCCTTGCTGGCCTAGCGAACAATCCTGCTCTACGAGGACTAGGACCATCGAATCTACTCTCAAATCCATTCGCAGGTTTAGGAGTCGGCGGGCCGGGTATAATTCCGGGAGCTGGCTTCTTGCCTTCCAGTCTAGGTACAGGTTTACCTAATCCGCTCATGTCAATGGGCAACTTCCCTCACTCGTCGAGATCGCCATCGATGAAAATACCGTCGATGCTCCGTCGCCCTAGCTTAGAGGTGATACCGGTCGATAACGACGATGACAGAGGGTTGAACAAGACGCCTCTCGCAGCACGCGAGAAAGACAGGCACGACAAGCACAAATCTCCAACCATTCCAAACATTTTACAGAAACATAAATCCAAGTCCCACAAGGACCACAAGTCGAGTTTATTCAAAATGCCACCTGTACAGCCAGATATCACGATAGAACTAAATCCTCCAAAAGTCGAGCCGGCCAGGCACGAGCCGCCGAGGGAGCCCCCGCGGGCCCGCTCGCCGCCGCCCGAGCCCGCCGCGCCGCCCGCCGCCCCCGCCACCGCCGCCACCGCCGCCATCCCCGCCGCACCAGTCGCCCCTGCTCTACTGCCTGAACCCGAACCGGCCTCTCGACCCGCCAAGGAACCTCTCCCTGAAGTATCCCACGAAAGGGAAACGGAGAACACAGAAAAGAAAAAGGACAAATCCCACAAGAAGGAGAAGAAGGACAAGGACGGCACGAAGATAAAAAAGAAGAAGGACAAGAAGGATAAAAACAAGGACAAGGGGGAAAAGAGAAAGGACAAGGAGGAGAAGCACGAGCTAAAGGACAAAATCAAGAAGGAGAAAAAGGAGAAGAAGAGAGAGAAGCCGGCCGACGGGCTCGTGCCGAAGCTCACGCTGAAGCTGAGCTCGTCGCGCTCCAACTCGAACTCGCCGCTGCCGCCGCCGGCGCCGCTGCCGCCGCCGACGAGCCCGGCGCGGCGCGGCGCGTCGCCCGAGCTGGCGCAGATCGCGGCGCTGGTGACGCGGCCGCCGCGCCGCGCCGCGTCGCCGCCGCCCGCCGCCGCGTCGCCGCCGCGCCTCGCGCCCGCCGCCAAGTACAAGCGCATCCTCTTCAAGCCGCTCTCCAAGAAGGGCGCCGTCGAGCACTTCGACGACGACCTCGGCTCGCTGTCCGACGACGGCGCGCCGCCGCCGCCGCCGGCCGCCGCCGCGCCGCCCGGCCAGCTGCCGACGCCGTACTACGTGGACGAGCACGGGACCAAGATCTGGGTGTGCCCGGCGTGCGGGCGACCCGACAACGGCTCGCCGATGATCGGCTGCGACGGCTGCGACGGCTGGTACCACTGGGTGTGCGTGGGCATCACGGAGGAGCCGGGCGCCAGCGAGGACTGGTTCTGCTCGGCGTGCGTGGCCAAGCGCGCCGCGCTGCTGCTGGCCGGCGTGCCGGCGGCGCGGCGCCGCGGCCGCAAGCCCAAGGCCGACAAGGGCGCGGCCAGAGACTGTCATTGATACGGACCTTTCGTTGTTGCTGAGATTCGTTTTTATGTTCCCGCTCGCCGAGTCGGGCGGGCGGCGTGAGAGTTGTTAATGGATTAATTGTTGAATGATATCATGAGAAAATGTTTCATCATTTATAATGTTATATCGTAGGCTAGGCTTAAGTATAGATAATAATTAAATATTGACATAAAATGTTGAACATAAATATAGTGTAGGTACTTGTAATAATTACCATAATTTTAGATATTTTTTTGTTATGATTCGTCTTAATTCGTTGGCGCGGTTCGATCAAGTTGCGAGCGTGTTATACACAACTCGCGTGCATAGATGATAATATTATAAGATTCTTTTTATATTGTACAAAAACTGAATTTACTTAAGATATTTGGTGATGTAAAAAGTTAATTGTAGTGAATATTTAAATAAACAGAAAGAACGGCTGGATATATTTTCAGCTGATATTTGAATATTTTCATATTATAATTTTAATATAACCCTGTTTTTCTTTTTTTTGTTGAGGTTGTTCCTTCATTTTATGTACAGGGTTGGCACAACCCCTCACCTTGCATGTCCGTATATATATATAAAATTGCATATATCATATCGAGCTATTGCGATACAAAGTCTATCCATCGACTAAAACTTGACGGGGATGTGTGCACCCTAGATCTAGAACATCGATGCGTGGATGGAGGCAATGTAAATTTTTAATTTCAGCCAGTGGCCAATTAAATATATTGGTACTCGAAATTGTGGTCCATTATTTTGTTCCTCATTAATGTAAGTTAAATATTGGTGATGAGTTATCCTTAATATGAATATTGGCCTGGCTAGTAGTTTTACCTATGCTTTGGCTCCAGATCATGAGTTACATTTTAATATTAATATATTGTCAGATTACCATCATTTTTTACCCAGTGGCAATTTGTAACCACACCTATGCCCTACCCTTTTGAGAGCTTTTTTTTACATTTTAATTAAAGATATCACAATGTTATAAGAGATGACCTAAACATCCATATCTGAGCTAATAAAAGTTCTCAATGCTTAAATTGGCCTAGCCGAGAATTGAACTCCACTCGCCTCTCAAGCAGAGCAATGCGCCTATCCTGTTGTTAATTAGTGACGTTTACGGTACTGTTCATGTTCGTAGGCGACGATTATCACTTTGCAACAAGTTGGTCGTAAGCTTGTTTGCAATTCTAAGTTCTATAAAAGAGTGGACGAATTGTAATCTATACACATGGTCCTCTCAGTATGCAAGCGATGCTTTGTAAAGACATCTCTAAGATCAGGTACATATACGCCTTTTTAAGAAGCCAATCCTAAATAATCTTAGTTACACATATAGGTTTTTGTCAAAATGACATTAATTTCCTTACCCACTGGTGTGTTGCTCGATCATGTACTTCAAATTTATAAATGATCTAAAATTATAAATACCTACCACAAATTATTATTATTTTACCAGAGGGACACTCTACATAAGTCGTTTGTTTGAGCACCTCTGTCCCATTCGTGTTTCTACCGTGAACTAGTTATTTGCATGGCTGTGTTTCGGTTTGAAGAATGGGATATGGCAGTGAGTTTACAGGGTTTAGAGGAATAATACACGAGTCCTAGGGGGAAGGGATTGTTAATGGGGTCTAACAGCCCCATTGCCGGCAATATACCCTATCAGATTGATCTCCACGCGGTTCCCCCTGGAAACCATCGTGGTTAATTCTTGTGGATTTGTCATGATGGGCTAACTGACCTGCTTTCATCCTCACCTATCATTTATCACTGATGCCCCACCAGCGTATGCGGATACCGCAGGCGAGGCTACCATTCCATTATCATTCATTAAAAAAATACCTGAGTCCTAAGGAATAGCAACGCATGGGGGTATCATGGGCGAAACAGTATATGTTATGTTTATGGCACTGTTTATGTCTATAGGTGACGGTTACCACTTTCCATCAGGTGGGCCGTCAGCTTGTTTGGCATTCTAAGTTACATAACAAAAATGGAAGTCATGTTTGAAATTTAAAATTGACAAGTTTAACGAAACTATATAGAGATAAAAAATGGCACTGCAGAAAAGATCGCAATGTAAGGAAAGCGACTGGGTCCTATGAAATTTATGTACCCTACCTTCTAAACACAAGTCATTATATTGCTCCATTTGCTCGGATCATCAATCGGTTATCTTTCACTCCCTAAATGCGATTCTTTACACAGGCAGACTAGTCTTGAATATTTAATTTTTGGGAGATATGTACACGATTAAAGCCATGGAAAACATGAGGAATTTATTTATTTAAAAGCATATATTATGTAACATAGAAGCCGGCTATATTACATACCTACAAATACATAAATACTCAAAGAGAAATACAAACAGCCTTTTGTTAACAAATAAAATGCCATTTTAGAACGTTATATTTAACGGAAGATAAATTTGTTGTTAGATCGGCTGCCACCTGTTGTAATACTGGCTTGCCTTGTATCACTTTTCACGATAATAGAAAATAATTACACACACAGTACAAACAAACAAAAATTCCTTTAGATCTTAAAGGTAATTAAAATATTTATTTCACATATAACTGTCTACAAAAACAATAATCTACATGACTTAATTTTTAGTGGCACTAGCACCCGAGGGAGTGCCATCAGCTGGAGCAGTGGGTTTCTCTTTATTCCAATCCTTGAGTCCTTCAGGTAAGGTAGTGTCCTCTTCAAGAGAGCCAGTACCTTCAACGAACTCTTCGTAAGTACTCTTCTCTGGGAAAGGTCTGGGTCCTAACAATTCTATCATGTCGTCCCTGCTTAGAATTTCCTGCTTCAATAAGCGTTCCGCAACTTTAATTATATTCTCTTTATGTTTTGTCAACAAATCTGTTGTGTGTTTATGCGCGTTAGAGATTAAATCTCTAACTTCGGAATCTATCAATTCGGCGGTCTTCTCTGAGTATGGCTTATCAATGACCATCTCTCCAGGTTGTGGCATTTCAAATGACACATTACCGACTTTTGGATTCATACCATAATGGACAATTTGAGCGTATGCACTTTGTGTGATCTTCTTCAAATCATCTTGGGCACCTGTTGTTATTCTGCCAAAGAATATTTCTTCACTCACTCTACCTCCAAGAGTCATGCACATTCTATCAAATAATTGTTCTTTACTGTAAAGATACTGTTCCTTGGGTAAGTATTGGGCATAACCAAGACCTTTCCCTCTAGGAATGATGGAGACCTTTAGCAAAGGATCTGCATGTTGCAAGAACCAACCAGCAACAGCATGCCCAGCTTCGTGATAAGCGACAATCTTTCTCTCGTCTGGTTGTAGGACATTTGATTTTTTCTCCATGCCAGCAACTACTCTTTCAATGGCTTGCTCAAAGTTTTTCATTGTGATATCATTTGCGAGTTCTCTAGCAGCAATCAAAGCAGCCTCATTGCATACATTTGCAATATCTGCACCAGTGAATCCTGGAAAAAAAAAACAAAAAATATAATAATGTTGCCAATATTGTGTTATTAATAGATTACTTCTATACCATTAATAACTAATAATGTCATGTATAAACATTATGAAAGTAGCAGAATATTCTTCAATCCTCATTGGGCTTGTAAGGCCAATACAGAATATTCAATGCATAAGAGTGGCAACACAGAGTGTTGTGTCTGTTATGGTCTAAGGTATTATTCTGAATAGAAAAGGGATTGTTAGTAATAGGGTTAGCAACCCCATTACTAGTAATATACCCTATCAGGTCGACCTCCTCACAGTTCGCCCTAGAAACAGTCATGATTGATTCATCGTTGTATTTGTCAAAATGGACTTATTGACCATCTTCAACTTCACTTATCATCCCTCACTGGTGCTCCACCAGTGTACACTGATAGTACAGGCAAGGTTACCATTCTGTTATCATCCATTAAAAAAATAAAAGGTATTAGTTTTAGATAGTAGTGAGATATAGTAGATAGTAAAGTACTTCAGACTAAAAGATAAACAAACACAAATTCATTTTTTTTTTATGGAATAAAAGAATATACAATGATTTTCATTTCTGGATTTTTTTTAATGTAAAAATATAGCCTACCTATAATTCTATACAATTTTTTTGATCTTACTTTAAATAAAAAAAAATACAAAATATTTATTATATAAATCTTTACTAATGTTATTATATTTACCTGGTGTTAAAGCAGCCATTTTACGTGCCAAGTTCTCTTTATTCAAAGTTGTTTTCAATGGTGCTAAGTGGACCTTGAATATTGATGCTCTACCCTTAATATCAGGAGCAGACACAAAGATTTGTCTGTCAAACCTTCCAGGTCGCAGGAGAGCTTTATCAAGTATATCTACTCTATTTGTAGCAGCCAGTACTACAACATTTGTAGTAGTATTAAATCCATCCATTTCTACTAAAAGCTGATTTAAAGTATTCTCCTGCTCTGAATGCCCACCGAGACTACGACCACCTCTTTTCCTGCCCACAGCATCAATTTCATCAATGAAAAGAATGCATGGAGCATGCTTTCGTGCCATTGAGAACATGTCTCGAACTCTGGAGGGGCCAACACCTACAAACATTTCTAAAAACTCTGAACCAGACACTGTAATAAATGGGACATTCGCTTCTCCTGATGTTGCTTTAGCCAGCAGTGTCTTACCAGTGCCAGGTGGGCCAGTGAGCAATGCACCCTTTGGAATCTTTGCACCAAGATCAATATACTGCTGTGGATTTTTCAAGAAGTTGACAAACTCCATAATTTCAATTTTGGCTTCCTCACAACCAGCAACATCTTGGAATTTAACACCAATGTCAGAAGGATTTATAAGCTTAGCAGTTGACTCCATAACTCCACCAAAAAGGCCACCACCTTTCCGACCTCCCCTCCCCATCATATCAGCTGATCTTCTCATCATATAAATTAAAAATCCTATAATAAGTAATGTCGGAAGCATACCAGTCAAACTAGACGCTTCAACTTCAGTTTTATAGATAACAGGAATAAAATTTGGTGGGTCTATACTCATTTCTATTTGTGCATTCTCTAAATTTCTCTCAAAGGAATCCACACTACCAATCGCAAACCAAATAATTTTGCCTTCAAGTGCTGACCCTGGTTGTAGCTTTACACGCACCCACTTTTTGTTTATCACTTCCAATTTCTCTACAGTACCCTTATTTAAATATAAATTCACAAAATCTCGCCAGCTGATTTCTCTGTATCGAAGCTCGAAATAAGCAAACGAAGCAAGTAAAGTCATTACTCCCATAGCGCCAAACATCATCCATTTTTCCCTGTCCTGTCCGTCATATCCGCCTCGGCCACCACCTCTACCGCTCCCTGGACCACTTGAAAATATATTCATATTCCATTTGTCCTGGGACGAGCTAGGTTTCGGCGACGGAGGCGTGCTTTTCGATGGTGGCGGCGTTCCATCTTTATCTGGGGTTTTCGGTTGTTTCTGACCAGTTCCTGGCTGGAAATATTTCTCGAAACCTTTTGGCGGCTTTTTACATAACTCATAACACTGATTTAATACGGAATCTAAAGCAGCAACACCGACAGGCTGAAGCTTGTGGCCATTGAAATGTATCTTTGATAATTGTGAATGTGTTAATCTGAGACCTTTCCACATGCTGCTCAAATATATTATCTATTTACAGTAATTAATATTTTTATCAATATTGCACAACTGTAATGGGAATTAAATCACAAAAATCATCAAGAAATATCATGACAAAACATGGTTAGAAAAGTTATGTCAAGTCAAATCTGTCAAAATGATTTGACAGTTACGATCAAAAATCTTCATTACTATCTTTTACATAACTCTTTTTTTTTCAAATTTAAATTCAAATCATTTATTGCATGAATATGGGTACATATATTAGATGAAAATAATAATTACATGTCCATTATTCCACATTCTACCATATCGGCGTGTACAATATAAAATTAAAGTAACAATAACTTATAACAATAAAAACAATGTCAATAATAATAATAAGATGTAAAAAATGTCAATAAAAATAATTAAATTGTATGTCTAATATTTATCAATGTAATAGTTATGTAACGTATAGTAACATACGGCTGTCAAATATTCTTTTGCTTTTTTATAAATATGCGAATGCATATTTCCTGCATTCATGCTGTCTATTTACTTAAATGCTTTCGGGAATTTATTATATATTTTAGAGACTATACCGAAAAAAACTTTTATCAAATAATGCTGTGACGTGCTGAAGCCTGAACGCGAATTTTATCGGTATTACGGTCACTTTTTAACTTTTCAAATAAAAATTTATTCTTTTTCACAAACAACATTGTTCCAAGAATATAAAGGCTTGGAAAAGTCACGATATTCAGTTTTTTGAATGAAGTCGTACATGTATCACTTCTTTTCAAATCGCACATACATCTTATACACCTTTCCTGAGTCTTGAAGACTATATCTCTATATGTCGAATTACCCCAAAATATGACACCATACTTTAGTAAGGATTTAACATATGCATGATATGCAGTCAATACCGCTGTCTGATTAACAATCTTAGACAACATGCGTAATGCGTATGAAAATTGGTTTTGCGACACTTAAAATATTTTAACACCATTTTCTTTATTTTTCAGTAATATGACTAGACTACTAAAAGATAAATCAATTTTTTTCTTATTTATTTCTCACCAAAGTTATTTATTTCAAATACGGGCAATAAGAATTGTCAACGATCCCAAGTTCACAGACGGTATAGAGCCTTTAAGACGAGGGTTTGTCTCTTTTTGTGTATTCTACCGCTTGTATAATGGGTTGTTCTAAGGAGTTATTGGAAATTATACCTGTAGCCACCTTTTACCATCGCACCACTGGACATCGACAGGGAATTAATCTTCACACGCTTGAACCTATATAGTCACGTACTATGCATTTTTTTTTAAATGGGTGATGAAATGTGCCAGTGAGACATAATAGATGAGGATGAAAGCAGATTAGTTAGCCTATCGTGAAAAATTCCATGAGAAGTAACCATAATGGTCTCCAGGGAAACCACGTGGAGGTCGACGATAGGTAACATTGCTAATAATAGGGCCTTTAGACCCTATCGTTAATAATCCCTTTCCCCCCGGACAGTGCAGTTTCAGAGAAATTTTCTCCCGCGAACGTTCTGACTGTGGAATTAGCTCCTTGTGGAGGTTTTTCCTAGAGCCTACGATAAGAATAAGAATAAAGAAGGGTATATTAGGATTTCTTCAGGGTTTTTTCAGCAACGCGCACGTGATGCCCCTTGTGTTGCAGGTGTCCATAGTAAGTGTAAAGAAACCATTCACAGGAAAGTGTTATAAGTAGATTGGATTTAAAACTTCTTTTATAGGCACCTACATTCGTTTATGTCCTTTACTATTAGTACCATAAGCTTACATTTTAAACATTTACCAGAGGTGTAGGTAAATGTTTACTGCCTGATTTAATCTGCATTTTTTTTTAATATAATGGATTGCATTAAATTATATATATTGTAAAAAATCTTTCTGTTCTCATCCATATATACAGAATTCATAGTTCTACTAAGTTTTGGTGAAAGAAATTAGTATATATTTGAACCCTACAATTTTATTATTAGGTAGATTAGCCGCTATTAAATAATTACCTACATGTGTATTGATGGCTTTTTTAATTATTAATAATATTTCGTTCAGAAGTAAACATATATAATCGACACTCAGCACTTCGGTAAAATATTAGATAGGAAAATGAACTATAATTGTAGTTGCATTATACTTAATTTATTATTGTTAATAAGGAGAATGATAATAAAATGTAAAAACAAATATAAGTATCATCAAAATAAATTAAATATAAAATTATTACAAAGTGTGTTTCTGAACGACAATCAGACATTTTTGCTCTAAGGTAAATAAATAGGAAAAAATTATAAGAAACTATTATTTAGTTTAGTAAATCAAATTAGATTTTACATCAATTCGGTTTCTAATAAACGTTGTATTGTTACATCTCTTAATACTTATATATAATTGACAGGAGTGATCCAAGTTCATCTGTTAAATTTGCTATGGATCAGCAAAGGCCAGAAAGCAGTACAAATCACGGAAAGAGGACACGACCTTTGCTCTTGCAACCGAGCCCCAAGATCGCTAGAGTGTCAGCGTACGCTAGTTCCACGTCCAGTGGTGTTTTAAAGAATTCGAAGAAGTTAACTCCAAAGAAATCTCAAGTGACATATAACAGGAGTGATGTCCCTCTCGCTGGTACTCCAGTCCCGGATAAGTACGTACGTAAGGCAGGCCCTTACTTACTGGGCCCCAAGTTAGGGCCCAGTCCCGTGAAGAGTATAGTCCAGTGTCTAGCGCGTAAGGAGAGAACAGATGACTTTTATCAGGTATGCTTTTATCTAATCAGCTGAGTTATAAACACAGTTCAATAATCTCACTAACATTGTAAATGTGAAAGTTTGAAATGATGTTTGAATGCTGTTACTCAATTATGAAAATTACTCAGTAATTAAATCTTTATATCTGTATCCAATATAAAATATGTACAATAAAGATTTTACAATATAATACAATATGCTTTAACTGTTTATCAGATTTGAATAAAATTTGATAATCAAATAGGCTATATTTCAAAATTTAGTAACTAACACATAGGATTTCCACTGGTAAAGCTATGGGAAATGGTTAATTAGTTTATATAAGATGATTATTGAGTATATCATGCAGTCTATAATTATTTTACCATTTGGTGGAGAAAGAGCAAATAAGAACTAACGAGATATTATTCTTTTGCCTCTTTTAATTTGGTATTTAATATTTTACGATAATTGTCCGTGATTTCGAATATATTGATGGATAGGTATAAAAAGTAGCTTATGTCTTTCTCTGCCCTAAATAAGTTCTATGCGTGTACTTTTAATGATGATCAGTTGTGTCACCAAGTGGAAACTCTTAGTCTTCTCTTCTATTCTTTTCTGAACAAACAAACTCGCTTTCACATTTATATTTATTTATTAGATGCACAAGACAGTTCTTCAACAATACATTTAACAACATCAATACTGACTGTATGTATCTTGACAAGTTGCAAGTTATATTTTTACTAAACATATTAAATACAAAGTAATTTGTATTGCTACAGATCACACATAATAACACAATTTTATAAATTTTATGTTGTATTATGTATTATCTATTCTTATGTACATGTTGTGTGTGATTAGTGACAAACAAATAAACGATATATCTATCTATCTATCTATCATATAGATTAAAAATAATTTATCTTCAATATACTTGTTTACAAGCTTTTTTAAATCTTAATTTTTTTTGTGATTGTTGGGTTTGGGATATTTTTTATCCAACTTAGAATGGCAAACAAGCTGACGGCCACCTGATGAAAAATAGTAACTGTCATCTACAGACATGAGCTGTATCAAGGACAACAGAATATACTGTTTCGCTCATGTTACCCCTTTCCTCGCCCATTTCGGTCGTCTTTGTACTTAGTAAATTCATAACATCGAACATCGGGTCTGCCGAACATTGAGTAAATTCATAAATGTTGTTATCTGCGAAGAAGAACCACCAAGAAACTTAATGGTTACTCTTTTCAAATTATTATGTACAAGATAATTTAAAATTTTCATTGGCGCTGTAACCGTAATTAGAACCAAGTTCTATTTATATTTATATATAACTAGCGACCTGCCCCAGCTTCATAAGGGTTCACATTACAATACATCACATTAGAAACCACTAAAATTATCAGTGTTCCTCTACTATAATATGCATGTATTATACATATAAACCTTCCTCTTGAATCATTCTGTCTAGTAAAAAACACCGCATCAAAATCCATTGTGTAGTTTTAAAGATCTAAGCATACATAGGCGCCGGATAGACAGCGACAGCGACTTTGTTTTGTACTATGTAGTGATAATAATGTTTTTTTTTTGCAAGAACATGGACTGGATCCACCTTTAGTATAATTAATTGCTTATATAAGAAGGTTTCATACATATATATACATAAACAAATTTGTCTTTTGTTTCAGGTAAAAATATTAACTTTAAGAAATGAAGGGCAGCCGGAAACACAGGACGACAGGCAGGGTAAAATGTTATTGCACACAGAATACTCATTATTGTCCTTATTGACAGATCAAGATGGTGTTATACACCACCATGGACTTTTTAAGGTAATAATTATTTATTTATCATCGAATAATATCCATTATTATTAGCTGTCCAATGAGGTATCTAAGAGAGTAAACTGTAATACACTGCAAGAGAAAAACTAAATTAGATTATATCAAACTGCCTGGTTAGTAGTCTAATATCCTCCTGTTGTAAGGTGATCCGTGATAAGGTGTTTCCTTATGCTATGCAGCATTACTGGTCTTCTGTCACTGGAAGATTGGCATTCATATAACTGAACAGACACCGGGTTAGAAAGTTCCATGTTATTGCATTGATGTAAAGACAGATCTTTTGCGTGTTGTTATTTATTCATTATTTTAATTGCCGTAGCATTAACTAGCTAACTAACCATTAACTGTCCACTGCTAAACATAGGCCTTCCCCATAAGGGGGGCTTTGCCAGTGGTTGCCATGCTTGGCAGGTGGGTTGGCAACCACAGTTAGTCAGGTTAGCTACAGTGGTGTTTTAAGAGCTGTTACCTATTCCTCTACCATTAAGTTTCCTTAGTCTCCTCTTACGACATCCATGGGAAAAGAGGAGGTGGCCCAGTCTAAGCAGTTCATCTGCCACTGAAGCCAGTTTAATGTAGCGCTAGTATAATCCACAAAGGACTTGTCGAATTCATCATGGTGGGCCAATTGACCTGCATTCATTCTCACCTATCATCTTCCATTGGTGCCTCGTCGGTGTATACCGATAGCGCGGGCGGGGATACCATTCCATTTTCATTTATTAAAAAAAATCCACAAAGGATGGGGTAAAGGGATTGTTAGTAAAGGCAATCCGACAGGTCCATTGTTATAGAATTTGTGGACAGGCTAACTGATCTGCTTTCATTCTCACTTATCATTTTTCACTGTTGCACTGTCAGCTTATACCGATAGCGCAGGCAGGGTTACCATTAAAAAAAATCAGCCATTAAAAAAAATGCGAAAGATAACTTGTTCTTAATGTTTCGAAACTGTTTTCAGGACCATGCATTAGAAGAAGTGCCAAATCCAAACGGACCTGGTTTTATTTACACGGGCAGGGTCAGACAGAGGTTGTTCCTTGTTTTGGACTGCGTCACATCTCACCAGTTCAGCGAGAAAGGCTCCGAGCTCATCAACCTGCAACAATATGTTACCAAAGTGAAGAAGGTTCCAGAAAAAGAGGCCATATTGATATTTTACGACATTGTTAGGGTAGTAGCTAATTTGCATAAGGTATGTATAGTAATAATAATAATATTATTATGTATTTGGAACATTAAATTACCAGAGTTACAAGAGGGAGACTTTGTACAAAAGTCGATTGCTTGGGTACCTCTGTCCCATTCATGTTTTAACTGTAAAGCAGTTGTGTTTGCATGGCTGTGTTTCGGTTTGAAGGGCATGAATTTATAGGGTACAGAGGAATAACACCTGAGTCCTCAGAAATGGCAATGCATGGGGGTAAAATTGAAACCATGTACCAAGCCACGTAGCCAGCATGTTATTAGTATGATATACAATGCATGTACCAATATATATTATGCTGTAAAATATACTTTTTCATTTCATTCCTTACTCTTAAAGGTCACTTGTAAATTTAATTTTAAACTGACTTCAAAAAAATAGAACTTCTCAATTTGGTTTGAATTAAAAAAAATTGTTACCTCGTAACATTGACTGTGTTATCCGTGTTGCCGTTTGGTCTCGGTATAGAATAGGCCACCCTTTCCTTTCCCATGGGCGTTTTAAGAAGCGACTAAGAGATCTTTATGGTTGAGGGATGGGCAGCAAAACAACCCACTTAAAACATCACCAAAAGCTTAACTGCAAATGCCAACCCACCTGCCAAACGTTTCAATTACTGACTCTACCATTAAGATACTTTAGTCGCCTATTACGACACCTACGGGAAAGGAAGGGGTGGCCTGATGATGATGATGAAGATGATATGTATTCTGATGACTATTCAATTTTAATTTCAGAGAAATATAGTACATAGAGATATAAAATTAGGCAATATAGTACTGAATCAAAGGACGGGGCGTGTTATAATCACCAACTTTTGCCTCGGGACACACCTCGGCAGCGATCGGGACCTGTTGAAGGATCAGAGAGGTGAGCAAAATAGTTCAATAAATTATATGAGACCAGCGGGAGACTGTACAAAAGTCGTTTGCTTAGGTACCTCTGTCCCATTCGTGTTTCAACCGTGAAGCAGTTGTGTTTTTCTATGGCTTTGTTTCGATTTGAAGGGTAGGATATGGCGTGAATTTACAGGGTACAGAGGAATAACACCTGAGTCCTCAGGAATGGCAACACATGGGAGGTATCATGGGCGAAACAGTATACTCTGTTATGTCCATGGTACTGCTCATGCCTATATGCGACGGTTAACACTTTCCATCAGGTGGGCCGTCAGCATGTTTGCCATTTTAAGTTGCATAAAAAAAATATGTATTTGATATTTTTGTATAGCACATAGGTTTTTGTATTTTATGTACGTAAAAATTATTAATCCACTCTTGCGCCACCTACCCACTTCTATCTGTTCTCCTTTAACCAAAGGTTGTCTGTAAGAGATTGCCCTAGCGATAAGACCTCCTTTTGTACCTTTATGTGTATATTTCAATCTGTATTTATGTTACTGTATTTCATTTAAATTGTTCAATCGTTATTTTATATTTTTATGTTTTTAGTGCAATAAAGAGTTAAATAAATAAATAAGGTATCACCTGGTGATAATTCTTAACAATAAAATAAAATGTGAAAGGGAGTATGTTTTGTTTTAATGGATGATAATGGAATGGTAATCCCGCTCGCGTCAACGGTTTACGCCTGCGGGGCACCAGGAGGAGGATGGAGGAGGAGGGATGATAGGTGAGGATGAAAGCAGGTCAGTTAGACTATTATATACTCTGTTATGTCCATGGTACTGTACATGTCTATAGGCGACGGTTACCACTTTCCATCAGGTGGGCCGTCAACTTGCTTGCCATTCTAAGTTGCATAAAAAAAGAAAAAAATGGGCCCCACTGCATTCCATTACTAACAGCCCTCTCTTCCTGATGCTCCCTGGCGACATGATATTTTTTTTAATGGATGATTATGGAATGGCAACCTCGCCCGCGCTCATGGTATACGCTGGCGGATTAACAGTGAGGGATGATAGGTGAGGATGAAAAGGCAGGTCAGTTAACTTATCGTGATGAATACACTAGGAATTCAGCACGATGATATCCAGAGGGAACCACGTGGAGGTTGACCTGACAGGGTATTGTCATATTGCTAGCAATGGGACTGGTAATCCGCATGACTAACAATTCCTTCCAACCGGGGGGAAAGGGATTGTTAACAATGGAGTTTTACAGCCCCATTGTTAGCAATATGCCCTATTAGGTCGACTTCCACGTGGTTCCCTCTGGAAACCATCGTGCTGAATTCCTGGTGTATTCATCTATCAAGGGCTAATTGACCTGCTTCATCCTCACTTATCATCCTTCACTGGTGCCCCGCCGGTGGGTTTACCATTCCATTATCACCCATTAAAAAATTCCTTCCACCCATGGGGCGACAGGATTTTGTTAGCATCTCTGTTTGTAACAACATGTCCGCTGTACTCGAGCAGGGTCACCGGCGTACATCTCGCCGGACGTGCTGCAGTGCAAGCCGTACCTGGGCAAGCCGTCCGACATGTGGGCGCTGGGCGTCGTGCTCTACACCATGCTGTACGGACAGTTCCCCTTCTGCGACACCAGCCTCGCGCAGCTCTTCAGCAGGATACAGGCCGCCAACTACAACATACCGCCGTCAGTATAGCCCACCCAACTTAACATAACCTAAACATAACCATAGTAATATATAGCTTAATCATTTATTTGATAATATTACATACTAGCGTCCCGTCCCAGCTTCGCACGGGTGGACATTTTGACATTTTAAAAAGTGGCCATTAAGGCTGCACACGCGACAGAAACTTAAAAATAGAGTAACTTCTCCCGTTTTCCCAACATTTCCCTTTACTGCTCTGCTCCTATTGATCGTAGCGTGATGAAAAGTATACTATAACCTGCCCAGGAGTATGAAGAATAATTGTATCAAGTTTCGTTAAAATCCGTCGAGTAGTTTTTGTTTGTATAACGAACATACAGACAGACAGACAGATAATTTTACTGATTGTTTTTTTGGCATCAGTATCGATCACTAATCACCCGCTGATAGTTATTTTGGAAATATATTTCATGTACAGAATTGACCTCTCTACAGATTTATTATAAGTATAGATAGATAATAACACTAATAATACACATAATCATGAATTTACAGGGTACAGAGGAATACCACCTGAGTCCTCAGGAATGGCAACACATGGGGGGTATCATGGGCGAAACAGTATACTCTGTTATGTCCATAGTACTGCTCATGTCTATAGGCGACGGTTACCACTTTCCAGCAGATGGGCCGTCAGCTTGTTTGCCATTCTAAGTTGTATAAAAAAAAATATTTGTAATAGTTGAGGCATAGCCAGCAGCGTATCTCTCTTAAAATATCTCCAATGCCTAACTGCGGTTGCCAATCCGCTTGCCATGCATGGCAGTTATGGGCAAAACCTCTCCATAGGGGGAGACTTATGTCCAACAGTGGACAGTTAAGGCTGATATGTAGAATATTAATACAGAATGCATATGTAGTGCAATATAGCTTATTGGTAGTTGATTAGTTTTTTTTTAATAATTATTTATTTTAAAGTGAAGTCGTCGTGTATACTAACTAGGTGTATTAAAGTTTAGTAAATAAATATATACCTAAGAACAGATAATATAATACTAGTAATTAATAAGAAATACTACTTTTTTTATTTCAGGGATGGAAATTCAGTGCAAGCTTCAGACAATACCGTATTCCTCATACAGAGGTTGTTGGTGAAGGATCCGAAACATAGACTACTAGCAGACGAGGTAATGAACAAAATTTAAGTTTTTATAATTTGTATTTTTTTATTAAACAAAAAGAGATGTCTTGATACAGAAATATAGTCTACATAGACAAAATATTAGATTATTTTTAAATATACTCGCAGGTCCACATTACGAAACGATAAAGTCTTCAATTGCTATATTTTGTATTTTTTTCATATATTTATATATTTGAAAAAAAAAATTTACATTTCTTTTTTATTATTTTTTTTTTTATACAACTTAGAATGGCAAACAAGCTATCGGCCTACCTGATGAAAAGTGGTAACCGTCGCCTATAGACATGAGCAGTACCATGGACATAACAGAGTATACTGTTTCGCCCATGATACCTCCCATGCGTTGCCATTCCTGAGGACTCAAGTGTTATTCCTCTGTACCCAGTAAATTCACGTCATATCCCACCCTTCAAACCGAGACACAGCCATGCAAACACAACTGCTTCACGTTTGAAACACGAATGGGACAGGGGTACCCAAGCAATCGACTTTTGTACAAACTTTCCCTCTGGCTAGTGGTTACATTATATAAGATTGTTTTTAGAAGTGTTTTTAAATGGCCTTTTTTTGTAAATAGTTAAGAAATGCTCTTTTTATTCAGGTCCTGGATCAACTGTCCAGTATAATAGCCAGTTATGTGATAGTACCGAATCCACCTGAAGATCTGCAGGTGGTCCCTGACGTCCCACTGGATGAAGAGCCCAAAGAGAAGACTGATGGCAACCAGTCCTCCACTGAAGTGGACCGGAAACCCTTCATCACCATACCTGAAAATGGGGGAGAGACACCTAGTGCTAATGTGAGTAGGATTTGCTTTGATGTGCTTAAAAACCGTAATGTGGGGTTTAAGAAAATCTTGTGGCATAGGTGAAAAATGGCGTCCTGTGATTTTCACGGAATTGAAGTTAGTTTTATTTTATATATTAAAAGGCCGGCAGCACACCTGCAATGCCGCTGGTGTTGTGGGTGATCATGGGCGGCGGTAGTCACTTACCATCAGGTGAGCCGCATGCCCGTTTGCTCCCTGTGTTGTAAAAAAAAAAATAACATCATCATATTACTCTCTGAAAGACGATGCAGTGACAAAAATCGAAAAAGGAATGTTGCGTTGGTTTAGTCATTTGGAGAGGATGGATGAAAGAAGAATTACGAAAGAGATTTATCGAGCAAGAATGAATGGAGATGTCGGTAGGGGCCGCTCTAGACGGACGTATAGGCGACGTGCTGAAGAAGGGCCAAATTAAAAGTACCCGTAACCGGCGAGGGTTTATGAAAAGATTGATGAATGTGGAAGAAGCGAAAGAGGCTCGTTTGAATCGAAGCATTTGGCGTTCCATTGTTTCTGCCTACCCTAATGATCTCCCATTGGTCATCCTAATGGTCCCAGGTGTGACAGATATGTATGTATTACTCTTTAATTGTCCACTGCTGAACATAAGCCTTCCCCATAAAGGGAGTTTTGCCAGTAGTTGCTACGTTTGGCTTGGCTTGGGTTGGCAACCGCAGTTAGGCTTTTAGTGATGTTTTAAGTGGGACGCTGCTGTCCATCCATCTATCATTAAGTTCCTTTAGTTGCCTCTTACGACACCCGCGGAAAGTAAGTGGGGGGGGGGGGGGGCTCATTGTATGCTAGGACGGGACACGGTTGATTAATTTGATATAATATTGTGTTTTCAATGTGAATTATTCGAGATTTGCCCGAAAACAACCTGGAATAATACTAATAATACTGAGTTTTCAACGGGCTTTTTTTTTCCTCAAAGGATATACTTTCAGATTGGTTCTGTAGAAATTTCATCAAAATCGGTTTAATAGTTTAGTTAAATAATTTTTTTGAATTAAAATGACTGGCTTTGCCAGGTTTGCAGTTTTTTTGTGAAATAATTTTAAATTATATCAACACTGTCCCATTGCTGGGCTTGTGTTATGTAGAGAGCAGTTTTACTTATTGAGATTTCGAATAAAAAAAAAGCGATAAAAAATTTAAACAGTAGAAAGGGGGAAAAGGTGATGAGTAACCTTCCTTTTAGAGACCCAATAACGGTATGTTAATGAAGTGTCATCGTACATTACATTTATTCTCCCTATATAATTTATTTACAGGAAGAATTAGGCATATTCTGCGTGCCACTACCAGACTTCCTAGCTCTAAACTTCCCATCACCAACCCGGGTTCAACAGAACGGCATCATCATCCACCCGACACACACCGTCGATTCATCATCGATCTCATCACCGAACCAGCAGAACCAACGGCAGATCACTGTCCAACGGATAGGCAGGGATGCGAGGCCGCTACTTCCTTGTGAGATTGCCAGGTATCAGCACATGTTTGCTTCCAACCAGCCCCGTACAGAGACTCAGACTCGCAGGGAAGTGCAGAACTTCGTCCCTGAACGACAGGAGAGGCAGGAGAACACAAGATTGAGGGCGTTAGCTCAGAGGATTCCTCGGCTCAATCCTGTGGTGACGGCCACATCGAACGGACAAGGGAACTTGGGTAGTTCCAGTGATTTCAGACCGATACCCTGGTCGGAAAGGATGAGAGGCAATGACAGATGGGACATGGATTACGCTGTGCGATTGCCGGTTATGGACCTGTCCAGAATGCAAGCTAGACAGCAGCCGGAATCGAACTCCAGACCGTCATCGGACGCCACGGACGATTAAAATTGTGTATTTGTGATTTTTCTGCAGCAACAAGTGTTTGTAACATTCGAGTTATCTCGTTTCGATGGCTTGTGATACTTTTTTTTTATTTTAAAACTTTTTTTATTTTAACTTCAAAAAGTTGATTTACACAGGCAAGGACTTTGCTAATTGTGTAACGATTTTGATGGTTATTTTTTAACTGAACGGCTCTTATATCAAGGTTAGTATCAAGGTTAAACCAATTGGCATCTACGCTGTTTTGACATTGTGACTTTAGTTTATTTTAGCTTCTTAGGTATTTGGTTATTCGTCCAACTAACTGCCTTTGTAGTTATTAAATAAAACATTCCACATGGAAAACCATTTTAAAAAGCTAAGACAGTATGATACTTACAATACATTTTCTCTATGTTTGCCATCTTAATTTCTGTTAATATAAAGTTACAAGTGTTGCTACACGAATTTATATTTAAGTATAGATGTAACGAAACTAGAATTCTGCCAATGTAAATTTAATTGAGAATTACTTACGACTATTTGCCTTTACAACGAATTGTATCATCGGTCAACGGTTTGTTGATCTCGCCCCAAATTATTTGGCTAGAAATTGACAAATGAATTTCGGTAGATACGTTATCGCTACTTCATGCATGAGGAGAACAGGAGGTCGCAGGTCGATCTGTTTTTATTTCGTATTAATGTACCAGTCGTTGATGTTGACCTTCAATCTAATGTATCTACAATTATCATCGCTCAACAGTGTTTATTTTTAATGCTACTTTGTTTTTTGAAAAGTGATATTCGTCGCCCATAGACATGAAGAGCAGCGTGGAAATCACAGAATATACTGAGAAGCCCACGGTTTCCCTCCTATTCTTGAGGATTATGGTATTATGGCATCGTATTCCCATTGCTATATCCCTTTAAACCGAAACAGCATATAAATACAGCTGTTTCGCGTTAGAAACATGAGTGGGACAAAAGTACAAGACAAGGTGATTTGCTGCGATTAAATTCACCCCTTTTTTTTACAACGCAGATGGCAAAAAGCATACAGCCAGTCTGATGGTGAACACTTACTGTAGCCTATGAGCAAAATGTGCTTGTGTTAATTATTTTATGATCAATTGATCTGAGGAATTGTTCGGATTGATACCTGCTGCTGATTTTCACCACCGTACAACCCGCCACAAACTAAAGTTTCATCCCAATCATCTGAACGAGTGGTGGTCTTCCACCGTGCGCTTTAAAGGCACTTTCTTCCACGTACAACCATTCTTTGGAATCAACTTTCAGCAGCAGTATTTCCGAACCGATACGACAACATAACCTTCAAGAAAAGAGCATATTCCTTTTTAAAAGGCCGGCAGCACACCTGCAATGCCGCTGGTGTTGTGAGTGATCATGGGCGGCGGTAGTCACTTACCATCAAGTGAGCGGCATGCTCGTTTGTCCCCTGTAAATATATATATATATATATATATATATATATATATATATATATATATATATATATATATATATATATATATATATATATATATATATATATATATATATATATATATATATATATAAATTGTAAGCTTTTTGCTTAATAATCTTACTACCTCAGCTTAGTGACTTGAGGTGTGTACAGTTTTGTCAATAAACAGTTTTCTGCATGATCGTGCACGTTAGAAACGTTAACAAATTTGTCATACGATAATATATTTTAAGCGTATTGTGTTAAAGTAGAAATTATAATGTAGATAATTCGTGTGTGTACACTTTTTATTAATCCTTCTTTGCATAATGGTGGAAATTTCCATCATAACATTGAATGCCTAAAAATTGTATAAAAGGACAAGTTCACATTAAGTTGACCGTGTCTGGATACCTTTTTAATGCCCATTGTTTTGAACATGAATTATATCACCTTGATTTATTTCACTAATAAAAAAAATCATGCAAAGAAGGGTTAAGCGACCACACGTCAAGGTAAAATGATCCTTGTTAGTACGTAACGTGGAATTGATAATAGATGCAACCCATTGACGTTTCTACCATAATTGCGACTGAATTAGTACAAAAGGTACATAGGTATCGGTCATTCGATATACACTGCCATGATTGTACGATACATTTTAAAATAACGAATCGTATTCTTTGTTTTCAAACTAAAGTGCTTTATTTTTTTTTTCTTACTCTGACAAAAGCTCCATTTAAATTCTTATTTAAGTGAAAGCTACTTAAATTATTATAAGTATATATATATATATACAACTTTATTTTAAAGAAAAGTCAGTCAGTCAGTCAGCTACCAATTTAAAATAAATTATTGGACCGAAATATTAAATGGTATGATAATTGGCCCATTTGAATTACCGGAGAATTTAACAGGGCAAAGCTATTTGGAGTTTCTTTAAAATGTCCTCCCCAATTTATTACAAGAGGTTTCCGACGAGCTGAAGGAATCGTATTGGCTGCAAAATGACGGTTGTCCTGCGCATTACCGGTTATTGCTGTACCGGTTCGTGCATATTTAAATAGAAGGTATCCAAACAGATGGATCGGGCGTCTAGGGCCAATTCTGTGGCCTCCACGTTCACCGGATTTAAATCCACTGGATTTTTTTTTACTACTTATGATATATTTTGTTTCGTATTTGTTTTAGGACGGCCATAAGTTGAACTATAAGACGTTTCAAGGTTAACCATTCATTACCGGACACCCTGTATACAGATTGGTGCAATAGAAATTTTATCAAAATCGGTTCAGCGGTTTAGTTTTTATATAAAAATAACTGCTTTTGTCGCACCAGAGGTCTGTTTTATTGCGGGATACGATATTTTTTTTTTATTACAATAACGGATTTACACTTATTTTCTAAGCTCGGCCAAGTCTGAAGTAAGTTATCATGTATATTTGTAAACATGTGTGCGTATCGGCATTATTACTTGTAATTAATTTGTTTTTAAATAGACATTAAGTGCTCGTTATATTTTTTTTTTATAATTATTAGTACTCGGGTATTTAATTTTAATATATAAACGATGTCTACATACATTGCAATCTGTATAGTTGTATGATTGTATTTGTTTTTTTTGGTGGGTGAAAATGGTATGGTAAACGGCCTGCGCTAACGGGATACGCTGGCGGAGCACTAGTGAAGGGTGATAGATGAGAATGAAAACAGGCCAGTTAGCCCATCATGGTGAATTCATCAGGAATTAACTATGATAGTTTCCAGGGAGAACCGCGAGCAGGTCGACCTGGTTGGGTATATTGTTAGCAATGGGATTCTCAGTCTCCATTACTAACAATCCCTTTCCCCCCTGCATGATTGTGTTGATTTTGGGTGATTTTCAGCAGGTATCATGGGCGAAACAGTATGCTCTGTTATGTCCATGGTACTGCTCATGTTTATAGGCGACGGTTACCACTTTCCATCAGGTGGACCGTCAGCTTGTTTTGGTGAACCTGTCGAGACTTTAAAGTTGATGCCCCGGAATATTTTTTTTTTATATTCTTTATTTCTTTATTGCACTTGTAAAAAGAGATATGGCGATTAACAACTTGTTAGCAAGAGTGGGTTTGTAACTGAAAGAGATCTCTTCAAATAAAACAGTGTAAGTAGTTATATATATATATATATATATATATATATATATATATATATATATATATATATATATATATATATATATATATATATATATATATATATTTTTTTTTTTTGTTGTACAAATATGTACATATGTATTTAATTAATGAAAGATCATTAGTAGTGGCCCCCATTGCTAGTAATAGCGCAGGCGGGGTTACCATACCATTTTTACCCATTAAAAAAAGTCACCCAGACTTAAGCCCCATTTAATATAATAATAAATTATAATTCTAAATTATATATTTTTATTATTATAGTTTGTAAGGTAAGCTCAATGTTTTTTTTTAACGTTGCAACATTTGACTTGTGTTAATTTAAATTGTATATTTTTTTTATTTTAATGTCATTAAAGTTGTTTATTTATTTATTTAAATTGTGATACATAGGTAACAATGGATGGTAAAACAAGTCCTCTACGATCAACCCCATATATCGAGGTATACAAATTTGCAATTATATAAGAAAAAACAAATTATATATATAAAAAAAATCAACAATGTCACATTTATAGTAAAAAATTATAATATTATGGAAATTTATTATATTTATCTTCAAGGAATCATCATTGTTATATAAGATTGTAATGTATGCTGATGTTTTTTGTACATATTTTATCAATTTCTATGTTGACTATTATTAATTAATGCAATAATTTCATTAGTATTGTGTTAAAGCTACTTAAAACACTGTCCACTTGTAGTTATGTAAATTGACTTTACTTAGTCTATGGTTTCTGAATTAAGGTTTTTTTTTTAAGAAACTGTTGAGGCAAAGGAAACATATTTGTTTGTAGGACATGTTCGGTACTGTTTACGTTTGGATTTGTAAAATGATCCGTGGGAAATTGGATTTTATAGTAATGGGACATTCCGTGATCTAGACTTGGGTTATTGACATTCCGTGAATCGGGATTTGGTGGTTTTGAGTACTATGTCTACTTTTATGGGGACGTCTATGTTACATCAAAAAAATGGCACGCTTACTAATATGTTAAGTCTGAAATAATGTATGTTACTAATATTTTAAACTATATTTTAACCGTGACTTCGTCCGCGTGACTTGGATATGTTTACTGATCGGTATAGAGCCTATGTCGTTCTCCATCCCATATAGTAAGTATATATCAAATTTCATAGCGATTGGCTAAGCCGTTAAGACACTAAGAGGGAATAAACAAACCTATTATCACATTCTTAGTAATATTATAAATGGGAAAGTAAGTTTGTTGACTTTTACGCTTATTATATGGAACGGAAGCTAATATTTATTCCGGCCAGTAACTATATTCCTGTCATGCAGACAAAGCCATGGGTGAAAGCTAGTAAATAAATAAAAGACATGTAAGGACTTGTAGTTATTGTAAGGTAGATTTATTGCGGATTCAATATTCAAAGTCGGGCAGCTCGAATTGTTGACGATCGGCGCCTTACTGTTCGCGTCGACACACTAAAACTGCGCAGAGATGTTGCATCTCTGTGCATCTTCTACCGAATTTATCATGGGGAGTGTTCTGAGGAATTGTTCGGATTGATACCTGCTGCTGATTTTCACCACCGTACAACCCGCCACAAACTAAAGTTTCATCCCAATCATCTGGACGAGTGGCGGTCTTCCACCGTGCGTTTTTCAAGGCACTCTCTTCCACGCACAACCACTCTTTGGAATCAACTTCCAGCAGCAGTATTTCCGAACCGATATGACATCGTAACCTTCAAGTAAAAAGCATACATACATACATACATATCTGTCACGCCTGTCTCCCATTAGGGTAGGCAGAAACAATGGAACGCCAAATGCTTCGATTCAAACAAACCTCTTTCGCTTCTTCCACATTCATCAATCTTGTCATACACGCTCGTCGGTTACGGGTACTTTTAATTTGGCCCTTCTTCAGCACGTCGCCTATTTGGTCGACATACGTCCGTCTAGGGCGGCCCCTACCGACATCTCCATTCATTCTTGCTCGATAAATCTCTTTCGTAATTCTTCTTTCATCCATCCTCTCCAAATGACCAAACCAACGCAACATTCAAAAGCATATTCCTTTTTAAAAGGCGGGCAGCACACCTGCAATGCCGCTGGTGTTGTGGGTGATCATGGGCGGCGGTAGTCACTTACCATCAGGTGAGCCGCGTGTTCGTTGGCTCCCTGTGTTGTAAAAAAAAATTCGATTGTTAATTTTCCGATGCGTAACTACAATAAGGGAATTTAGAATTATTTACTACGTAGATAGTGAAAAAGATTTTTTCGTGTTAAAGAAAAAGAGAATTTATGTCCATGTAGGAAAACCTTAATTCAGAAACCAGCCGAAGCGATCCTTATTTCGTCCTAGTTATTGGAATGATCCAGAAATATTTTTAAGTAGAACAATTTGTTATTTGTTAGATACATACTGTACGCTGTATGTGAACTAATAAAAATGTATTTTAAATAATATTGTTATTTTATTTTTATTACTTAAAGGGGAGGGGGGCGAGTTAAGGGGTTAGTAATGGGACTAGTGGTCCCATTGCTAGCAATAGATAGATAGACAGATACTCTTTATTGTTTCCTCCAAAAGATTACAATAGTAAACTTATTATAGATACAAACAATTACAAGACAATCAATATCACAATAATCACAATGAGAAAACAATGGGCAAGCTTATTGCTAAGAGCGATCTCTTCCAGGCAACCTTTGGATGGAGAGGAGTAATTATAAACAGTTTGATCGGAGGCACAATGAAATTCTATTATTTCTTAATACAGAGATATGATACATGTAATAATGTAAATATACTTACTTATTATATATATTTATATAC